CACACCAAGGAGTTGAGTGAAACTCTATTGGTGCCACACCTCTTGGTGCCACACCTCTTGGGTCAAGCATGGACAAGCGGAAGTGACTGTGGGTTGTCCTCGTTCGCTGCTCCATTGCTTTTCGGGGTCGATGGGGCTTGTTTTCCACGGGGTAACCCGGACGTCTCGGGTCAGGGCTTTCGATTTTACACCATTCACTTCTTAGGGTTCAAAGGCGTAAAGAGCGCTGAACCATGATTTGCGACCATTTCCGGCAGCCTTGATTCCAAGAAGCCCGAAAACCGAGACCTTGTCTTCAGATCCTCCGTCAGGTGCCTCGTACATGCCTGGACTCGAGCTGAAACGCGTGGAACTTCATCGACGCTTGATGCACGCGCAGGCCGATCTGCCTTGGACCGGGTTGACCGGGTCTCCTGATCTTCCGAGTTCAGCTCCAGGTTCCTAGCTGAACTGCACTGGGCATTAAGCATGTTTGGCATGGCCGAAAGGTATGTGTGAGGCATGGCATGGTCCAAAAAGCTTCCATATCTGACGATATATATAGAAGGTTAAAGGCAACCATCTGATTTGACGCGCTGTTGCAGACCAACGACGTCCCAGCGTGGTTTTTACTTTCATGCTTCAAGAATCATACTCTTTTTCACCACTCACTGACTCACAATCTCTCTGCACCGCACGTGCGTTCACGGCCTGGCCCGGCCTTTCCTCACAGCCCCCCCTCCAGCCTGCAGGACGTGAAGGCCCATGCCTCCCAGCGCTGGTCCTTCCGCGGCGCCGCGCTCTCCGCGGCGCTGCGGAAGCTGCGGGGGAAGCTGTCGCTGTCGGTGCTGGACAAGAAGCCGCGCCTCAGCGGGTTCGACCGACCGGCCACGGAGGGCGGGCGCCAGGACCGGAGTGATGTGACTGACGGTTTTGGTAGAAGCGAGATGGCTGTGGGTCCGGGTCTCAACCCACTGAAAATGGACTGCAGGTCAAGCTACCAGGGTGCTACCAGGGTTCGGGTGCGGGTGCGTTCTTGGGAGCAACCCCACATCCGTTCATGGTCTTTCTCCACTGCAGATTCGGCAGTCACACACTTCGAAGCCAGCGGTTTCTGAACGTCAAAAGAAATTTAGCATCTTGTGCCTTCTCTGGGTGATCTGGAAACAAAGCCCTTAGTCCTCCTATCCTGTTGTTTGCCTTCTGTATTCTATGCATGAAGCATCTGTGATTCCCTGCTGACATTGGTACAAGAAGTTGTGAGTGACATTGTGTCATGGTAAAGACCACAGAACCCTTGTGACCAACCATCCAGCACCGCACTCACAGGGCTTTCTGGTCACCCGGCCGGTGCGAAGCGGTAGTTCCAGCTCTTCCAGAGTCTCTTCCAGAGTCTCTTCCAGTATCATATCCAGTCCGGGGGGCCCTTCGGCCTTTCGCAGGTCGCTGTCAGGTTTACCATCGAGGCTGTTCAAGGCAACCATTTTGATATAGTTGGCAGGTGAACCAGGGTTTCCTGTAGATTCTCCCTTAAACCATCTTAAACCCATTCATTGAATTGCAGCCTGCGGTCACCGCGGTGGCCCGCGGTTTTTTTGAGGCAGCCGATCTGGTGCGATCTGTCGCCACTTGGGATGGAGAAGCGTGTTTGGATGGGCATGGAGAAGCTGACCATGTACACTAGCCCTATAGGGATCCAGGTAAGTACCAAACCTCAGGATCCAGGTATATATACTTTCCTGGACCCAACTGGCTGGCACCTACAGAACCGTGTCGAACACATCACTGTACCTGAGAAGGTACGACTGGATCCCAACAATAGGGACTATACACTCCCAGCCGCCCAGGTCCAGGTACCTCCTTTTCAGAAGGTCACAGAGAGAACGGAAAGATACGGAAAGTACGTCAACTCGGAGGGTTCTGGACCGGTTCACGTACTGACTCTTCGCCCATCGATCAGCACCCGCACTGACAGGTCGGTCTCACTGGTGGCTGAAACCGCCTCCCTGGAGCGACCAAAAAGGGGTGACCGTCAAACAATTTGGCCCCCCCAAAAATCGGAGGTGGATGCATCGATGTTTTCTTCTACCAGATGCCCAGAGGTCGCCTGCGAGCCGAGCCCAGAGGTTTTTGGCCCACTTCTGCGACGTCTTCATGAACATCAACAATGGAAGCATCTATCGTTCTCTACAGGTGCAACCGATGGAATCCCGCGCGCATGCGACCAAACTCCGTTTTGCTGGTATGTTCTTTTTCCCGCCAGCGGAGTGGTCAAGGGCGGGCGTTTGCAGGGTGGTGCAGTGTGTGGAGTTGAGCACCGCTGAGAACCACCACAAAACCAGCCATGATCTCGTAAACTTATCTAGTCAGTGTCAGAAGGAACAAAAAGGATCTAACATGTATCAAACAGTTAACACTGCATACTTCCGAATGTAGAGTCCCGGCCTGCTGATTGAGCAATATTGAGCACATGGGTATGTTCCTGTTGACCGCTCTTCTTCATCTGAGAAGAGACTTCTTGCTCCCCCACGATGCGAAAGAAGAAACAGGCCCCCCCCCAGCACCTCCGCAGGTCTCCGGATGAAGCTCCCCCCAGCATGGAGACGGTTAGGTCCCAGCACTGAAGCTCCGTTGCGGGTGCTCCGGATCCGCAACGACGACGGCGGTTGGAGGTCGTCCACTTGGGTTTGCAGCAGCTGATCGGCGAGAAGAACCCACTGATGACCAGTGATGATCAGGACGGGCGAAACGGGCGACAAGGGCGACACGGGCTAGCAGAGAAGCTTAGATGGGAAGAAGTCGTCTGGCGGAAGTCGGGGGAAGGTCAACCCTGAGATTGAAGGGCCCCAATTGAACGTACTCTTATCAGGAGGAAGAGGTTGTTCGTCTTCGACCTGTTGTCTCCAACACAGCACAAATCCATCCTATCTTCGACCATCGATCCCCAAAAAACCGCAGGGGTTCTTCTCCCTCCTCTCCCGTCGACCTTCGCAGGCGGCGACGAAGAAGACAATGGAGATCTTCGAAGCAGGCGCCTTTCTCCAAACGTTCGACCTCCAGGCGATGCACGTTGAAGGACCCGAATAGACTCTAGACTATGCCGATACTCCAGGTTACGGGTCCTATAAGGTCACAAAACAGCCTCTCTGGTCATGGGATTGGCATATTGAATCATACTGTATTGATCTAAATGGATTAAATGGATCCCAGGTCAGCAACCCTAAAGAAATAGTGCAACTACCTGGAGTCGTCCTGTTCGTACCTTGGGAAAAGGGTGCAATTGAAGCATACCTATATTTTATTCCAACTATTATGCAAAGGTTCTGCCAACCTTAGCTGGTTTGGTTTGATTAAGTTCGACAGAAGTTGTTGCACAACTTGGAAGATCCGGGTATAGCGAAGTTGCAATGCCATGCCCTTTCATCTAAACAAACAGCCAAACAATGGCAGACATGTTGCATAGTTGGAAGATCTATAATTACCTGGACCCTCCTGTCGGGGTGTCTAATGGACTACCCCACACTACCTATCGGCTTCCAGACAGGGCACCCCTTGGAGGGTCCTGGTAGGTATAAAACAGAGTCCCATTTTCACTCCGCCGTACTTCGTGATTTCACGCCAGCGCTTCATCCCATTTCTGGCACGACTCGTAGTGCTGGTCGCATGGACGGAGGAGTCGGAGTAGATCGGACCCGAGAAAAAGTGTTGAAAGGAGAATCTGGTGCCACAGGTCCTGAGGGGGGTCAAGTGGCTACGTTCGTAGCGTCCTTGTTCCTCTTATATAGCGGCCTGGCCTCCAACCCTTTTTTTCATAGCACGCGATGGTCGATTCGCCGTGCGTCGCGTCCGAACGCGACCAATTGGGTGGGCAGGGCACCAGCAGTTTGGGAGGTTCGTGATGCTTTCAAGTTGGAAGGTGCCAGACTGTCGGGACGACGGCCGTCCAGATGCCAACTTCATGACCCAAAGAACAGTCCGCACAACAGGCGACTCGCCCAAAGATTCACCATAAATTGAACCGTCCGACCGGAAGATCCTCCGAACCGATGATGGCCCGATATGGCCCGCTCGTCCCACTCTGCGGGACCCAGATTCTGCGGAGTACTCCACGTCATGAAAGACCACCCGAAGCGTTCACATTTGAAGGTAGAAGCTACTAGGAACAAGGGCATCGCTACGAACGGAGTGGCATCACTACTAGGAGCAAGGGACGCTACTAGTACTGTAGCTCCTGGCCTTACTAAGCACCGGGCTGAAATCAGCCGAACTCCTCCATCGCGTGACACACGGCCCTGAATAGGGGACCCAGTGTGGGAACCGCTTGCCCAGCACGTGCCCAGCACGATGGTAAGGTTTGGACCTCTTCCGGAAGTATGATCGAACCAAAGGAGAGGCGGCTTACTGGGGAATTTTCATGGGGCATTGCAATGGGATGCGGGGCTTTGGTATGGGCCGGTGGGTCTAAGATCCTGATGTTTTGGGAGTTGGGGCCTACTTAGGAGATACCTGGATCTTCCATGGAGACTAGTAGAGACTAGTAGATGATTCCATGGATGCTGGTACCTTAGATCTTCCATGGATACCTGGATCCTTATACTTAAGTTGGAGACTAGACTTGATGATTTGGGGCACACAATGTCCACGGCCGCAAGAGGTTATCGGAGCTCCAACCTACGCTAGCGATGGCCTGCAACCTACGGCCCAGTTGATTGGTTGGACTGTCCTTAGGGCTCCAAGTACCTCCCCAGAAGATATTTGGACCCTCCTGGAACCCACCCCAGTCCGTTCTTAGAAGGTCCTTGGAGCCCTAGGGAAAGGCATGAATGTTCAACCAGGACAGTTGGACTCTTGGACTTTCAGACTCCCAACACCAAGGTCCACCGTGACTTTCAGGAAAGGACCACCTACCTACCTCCCGGATCGTCCACTCCACACCGTCACCATTCCCGGTCGGTCCGGTCGTAAGTAACTAGCTCTATCGTCCACTCCGCCAGGTGGATCCTTATGATGACTATGCCGAGATGCCTGGACTTCTGCCCTTCTTGAAGAGGCCGGCCATATGGGAGCCGATTCGGCCGATGCCGCGGCACCGGGACCGGGAGCTGAACGGTGAAACACTGGGACACCGTGGACCTGTGAGCTGGACCCAAGCTGTGACCACGTGCACGGTACCGATGCAAGAGCCCAGCTCGCCTCCCAGTGAATCAGCTCAAAAGTCCGAAAACACATGGTCTCATTCTGAAACCCGAAGGATCTCCAGAAACCTGAAGCATCTCCTGAAGTCTTTGGTCCAACCCTTAGGGCTTCGCAGGATGCGAAACGCATCACACGTCTCGACCGCGACCGTCCTCGTGGCATTGGGGGCCCTCGCGCAGGCTCCGTCGTGCCTTGAACAGCCTGAAGGTGGGTGACATGGCGCTACTGCCGGGCGGCTGGGGCTGTGGCGATTTCATGGCGCGGCAATATATCAGCTTCGCTCCTTGGATCCCAACAATCCTTAAGGGCCAGGTGCCTGAGATTTCATGGCGATAGAAGAATGGAAAGAAGAGGAGGATGAAGGACGCTGCCCATGAAAGACACCAAGAAAAAGGGGACTGCCAAGAGATGGCCACGGGGTGGTTTGGCGGGGTCAATTGATCGGCATACCTATAGATCTTCCAGCACTGCAACAGTTATGCCAAGGCTGGTTTTCTAGATGAAGTTCGGCATGTAAAACTGTCGCACAACAGTTGGAAGATCGATCTGGGTCGGTTTTTTTGCCAGGTCGAGACATGTTGAGACACCCGAACCACAGGAGGGAGGTCCATGTAGGCCTAGGACTGGGCCGGAGGAAGGCGTGGCGTCTTTTTCTGCGGCCACAGGCCTTTGTTCATATTAGTGATTAAGTCATTTTCCCTGGTAGGTATGCAGCTATAGGAGGATGTTGATTCACACATCAAGTGGTGTTTATCGAACATAAAAGCCAACCAAATGTTTCGTGGGTTCCTAAGAAAAAGAACGGTTCTGCATGCCGTTCAAACGATCATTTGAGAAGGTTCCTGCTTGACAATGGAGATCCTTTACATGCATATTTTTTTTAGCAAAAGCATCCACTTGTTTCTGGTTGTTTGGGTTTCCAGGCCGCTCCAATCGGGTGTGCCCTTTTTGTAACGATTTCGGAATGAACCGCAAGAGTTGAGAATTCCGTGCCTTTTCTCAGATTTCGGTTCCGACACGTGCGGTTTTATCATGTCGTTCTGGCCAGATTGGATATGTCGTCATATCACTTTTCTTTCATATCCATGTCCCGGAAATCGCTATTTAGTGGATTGGGGCAGTGACTGTAACTGACGTACTTGCATCCTACTTAAAGACAGGACTGCACTACTGCATGGGTCAGTGACTGTCATTGTAACACATAAAAATTAATTCCTTTTGGCGTCGGCCTAAAGGAACATTCCCGGACATGTTATGCAAAACAATGGGTGCAGTTAGTCAAATTATCCTTGGAATAGTTAGAAGTTGGAAGCCTTAGACGAGGATTTTGCCTGGAAGAACCAGACCTTGTCAAATGCTTGTTTTGTTTGCAGCATTGTCAGCTTTTGAAGACCTTGTCTGAAGTACCTCAGCCTCGGGTTTTCCTCAACGAGAAGAGGACGTTTCCATCATCCCCAGACAACCCCAAGCAGCCCATCTTGGGTTTTCGACACTTGGTGATCGCCCCTGGCTAGCCGTTGGTGCACCCGAGCCGTTGCTCCAAGACAGACCCGACCAGACGAGACCCGTTGACCCGAGCCGCTGACCGAGGTCCTGGTCCCTTGGATGTTCGGTTCGTGTGGGCAAGGGGGGGGCCCACAAAGGACGGGCCCAGCAGAACCGACTCCAGTCGTGCCGTCTCAGGTATGTGGATTGATATACCCTACACATTCTACCGAACCTGAGGTCAGGTTCGGTACTTTCCTGGGCCCGAGTGGCTGGCACCTACATAACAGCGTCGAACACTCCACCGTACCTGAGAAGGTACTTGGATTTTGTAAGGAAAGCCTTCAAGGGTTCCTACATTCAAGCACTTTTGGACCACTTTTCGAGCTCTGAGGGAACCCTTGTACTTGGGCACTCTAGGAAGCCTTAGTCGGGCTCAAGCATCTTCTTGAGGGTTCAGTGGATTTGTCCCGCATCTGCAAGACTCTGCAAGATTCTGCAAGGCAGCATCTCAGAACGCCCCCCCATGGCCAAGTGATTGATTTTTCGCTGCTTTCGACGTGGCCATTCGACAGGCAGCGATGGCATGGGTCCCGGTCAGGAAAACCTTGGCAGTTCTTCTTGACCACGGAAAACCGGGGAGGTAGCCATGCGCACATGCACGTTCGCGATGAGACCTGTGGTGGTGGATTATGGCACCTGGAGACTGGAGACCATGTCTGGTAGGTTGACCAGACAGTCTGGGGGGGCGTCTCTGTTCTTCCTGGCCACGTGGTCCACCAGGGTTGGCCGGTTTGGAGCCGCTATATAAGCATGTTTACCCCACCCTAAACCAGTTCCCAAGAACCCGCATCCAGGCAGGCAAAGCACGGTATCGCTGGGAGTCCTAGTGGTTCCAGTTCGACCAAAACATAGACCGAGCGAACCCCTGGTTCCTTATACAGTGGTAACTGGTAACTGGGATCCACTGGGTTAAAGGTGCCTTCACTACGGCCAAGTTCGCCGCTCCGTTTGCGCTGAATTTTTTTTGGGAAACACCTCTGCTTAGTTGTGGTTGAAGATGGGTTTAAGTTTGGGGTTCATCCCGCTTGATCACTTATCCTCTTGATCACCCCCCTCACCCCCCCCTTCATCATCCCAGCAGGCAGCAGGCCTGATTGGAGGGTTCGTCCCTTGGGTGTGACCTCCCTTTCGAACCACCTCGCAGAATGAACCACCTCGTGCCAGGTTCATTTGGTTGCTGTTGGGCTCGGGTTTGGTATACGATCCAAACAAATTCACCAGGCATCGCAGGTGTTTCTTCAGATGGCGAGACTTCGGGACAGCCCACGTGACGTTTGAGCCATCCCCTTCGGCTTCCTGGCCCATTGATTTTTAAGAGCCGAAGAATCGTGAAGACATCCGAAGAAAATCCGAAGAACCATGATCTTACAGACAGTCTTGCGAAAGGATTGATTTTTGTCACTACCACACCAGGGCGTTCCCGGCCCATTGATCGGTTGATGACGGAAGCCTGAGATCATTGTTGCCCAGGAACGCGTGGGGGAGGACAACTATCGCATCGCGGTCTTCGGCTTCGGTGACAGCCGCGAATATCATCCGAAGTGACTCGGTGAGGTCTGCGACTTCCGTGCCCTTCGGAAGGGGAGAGAGTTCACGAAGTGCGGTGCCTTCACGAAGTGCGGTGCCCATTTTTTCCTGCCACATGGGGGGGCCTCCCAAAGGGAGGTGAGGTGATGTTGAATCCAGATGATGTGTACCTAGCCTAGATCATGATCTTCCAACAGTGCAACATTTATAATATGCCTGTTCATCTAGAAAACCAGCCAAAAGGCATCAATTTTGCACTGTTGGAAGATCTATAGGTATACCGTACCTGTCATCATCCGGCGGACGAATGAGAGCAGAAGCGGAAATCTGCTCCGTTCACACGGATCCAGTCAGTTGAACCACTCAGATGCTCCGTGAGTTCACAGCTACCACTCCTGGTCCCGAGTCCCAAATCAGTCAACACCGAGATTTGGAGACGCTGGACCCGGTGCGATCCTTCTTTTTTGGAATGGGTCGCTGTTCTGGGAAGCCCAGACCGGGCCAGCTGTCCGCATCAACGGACACCGCACCGCACGTTGTGCACATCGGGCCCGTGAAGCAGAAAGGGTTCCAGGAAGCTTCGGGGGATGGAGGGGTGTAGAGACTTCAGGCCCTATGGCTCCAAGTTCCTCCTCAGGGTCGGTACGACTGGACCCTCTACCCCAGTCCCACCTTCGAAACGAGGTAGGGAGTGGTGTTTCAGAGATAGGTGTATCCAGGACATCCAGCCTTGGGATGGGTGTTTCAAAGGCTAAGCCTGGAATAGTCCTTGTTCCAGCCTTCGACTAACCAGATACTCACTAAGTGGGTGCAGAGAGGGAATCTCCCAGACATCCAGCCAGGGAGGGCTTCCAGCTATGTGTGCTGGAGAGCTGGAGAACCATGTTCCACTCTCCAACGGTCCCCCTGCAACGTCCAAGAACGCACAGCGTATGAACTACGCATCCAAGCAGAAGCAGTGACACCACCCCCACGCTCCACATCCGCATCCGCATCCGCTCGTAAGCGCTCTGCACGGCGAGGTCGGCACGGATGCCGCCGAAGGTGAAGTTCCGCCCCATCGTTTTGGAGAATCTGCCGCGACGCAAAGCCTTGGATGACGCCTGGTGGGCGCTCCTCATCGTCACTCGGAGCAGTTCTTCGCGGGATGTGGCGTGGCCGGGATGAAACAGGTCGTTCCAATAAGGCGCCGGCTTGGGATCCACATGGGGAGTGGCTAGGACTGGGGAGTTTCATCCAAGTCTTTGTGTGGTTGTTCCAGGTTTTCTCAGATTCTTTAGCCCCTGAAGAGAGGTGTCCCAGATGGTCTTTGTACTTATATAATTAGTGTTGTTGAGTGACGCACCATAGAAAAATGACCGTTTTGGAACTCTCATTGGTTCAATCTCCCCCAAAAATTATCGTCATTACCCATTGTCCAGAACAAGTCATTTGCATCGTTTCCGTGATGACCATCTTGTGCTTTGGAGAGAGACACACAGGGAGACACAGAGAGCCTGCTCGGCAGATCCGGTCGTTTCTTGGGATACTTCTGATTTTGGGCTTGCCGATATGAGTATGTATTTTAATAGGGGACCCCCTGGCCCAGTGGGTAGACTGGGAGGTCTCCCTATTTGGATACACGGCCATATCTTGATTCCCGACACGTGTTGAAACGTCACAGTACCTGTAATTACATAGTTCCAAAGGGGTGCTTAATGAGGTTAGGGGTGTGCATTATCCACTGATTTAGGGACTAAACACAATCCCTTTGTAGTCTGGGCTTGTCATGGGGCCCGCTTTATTGGGAGGTGTAGAACCCCTGTGTTTGACCCTCCAACCAGCATCCATTAGCATGGCAGGATGGAATCCAAGAGCCGCTAGGCAAGACAGCTTTCCTTTGATTGAAGTGTGTTTTGTATGTTGAAGTCGGAGTGATAAATTGAATTCCAAGTTATAGATGGCACACTACCCTGTGCACGACGTCTAGATGTGTCTCGATATGGATCGAAGTTCTATTCACCACCTTTTCCTTTTCTTCCCTCTAGTCTGAAAGAACTGCATTGGTTGAGAGCCCACCAACCAACACCACATGGTGACCGTTGTCTTTGCCTTTGGTTTGTCAGGCGTCTTTGTCCGGCGGTCTAGAGACCTTGCGTAGCTCAACCGAACTCGCTCGGCCGGGTCTTGATGCCATGAGACGCCTGGAGGTGTGAATGTCCTAAGCATCCAGCGTGACGTTCCAGGAAAAGAGCACAGATCAATCGCTTGCTTGGACACTCGTTGGGAGGCTGACGGAAAGTGAGGTCGAAAACGTTTTGTTGCTGGAGCTCAAGCATTCAGAAGAGAAGCTTCCTGAGGTATTGAAGTTCTTCAGTGAGCAGAAACGTGGTGATTTAGCTTTCGCTACTTTGGATGCAGTCCGGAAAGAGGGTAGTATCAAGCTGAAGGCATCCTATTACACACATGGAATTACAGCATGTGCCAGGGCGAAAAGAACACAACAAGCATTGAAGTTGTTTGATGCCATGCTTCAGGCCAAAGTTCAGCAAAATGTCTTCAGCTACAATGCCACCATCAGCGCATGTGAAAAGGGCGGACAATGGCAGCAAGCATTGAGCATGTTTGATGCCATGCACAAGGTGGAGGTTCGGCCTAATGTTATCAGCTGCAGCTCCACCATCAGCGCATGTGAGAAGGGCGCGCAGTGGCAGCAGGCATTGAAGTTGTTTGATGCTATGCCCGAGGCCAAAGTTCAGCCAAATGTCTTCAGCTACAATGCCACAATAAGTGCATGTGAGAAGGGCGGACAAAGCCAGCAAGCAATGAAGTTGATTGATGCCATGCCGCACGCAAGAGTTCAGCCGGATGTCATCAGCTACAACGCTGCCATCAGCGCATGTGAGAAGGGCGGGCAATGGCAGCAAGCATTGAAGTTCTTTGATGCTATGCCCCAGGCAAGAGTTCAGCCAGACGTCATCAGCTACAACGCCACCATCAGTGCCTGTGAGAAGGGCAGGCAATGGCAGCAAGCACTGAAGATGCTTGATGCCCTGCCCCAAACAAGAGTGGAGCCAGATGTCATCAGTTACAACGCCACCATCAGTGCATGCGAGAAGGGCGGGCAATGGCAGCAAGCCTTGAAGATGTTTGATGCGATGCACAAGGCAAAGGTGCAGCCAAATGTCTTTAGCTACAATGCGATGATCAGCGCATGTGAGAAAGGCGGACAATGGCAGCAAGCATTGACGTTCTTTGATGCTATGCCACAGGCAAAAGTTCAGCCAGATGTCATCAGCTACAATGCAACCATCAGTGCATGTGAGAAGGGTGAGCAATGGCAGCAAGCATTGAAGATGTTTGATGCGATGCACAAGGCAAAGGTTCATCCAAGTGTGTTCAGCTACAACTCCACCATCAGCGCATGTGAGAAGGGGGGGCAATGGCAGCAAGCACTGAAGATGTTTGATGCCCTGCCCCAAACAAGAGTGGAGCCAGATGTCATCAGTTACAACGCCACCATCAGTGCATGCGAGAAGGGCGGGCAATGGCAGCACGCATTGAAGATGTTTGATGCGATGCACAAGGCAAAGGTCCAGCCAAATGTCATCAGCTACAGCTCGACCATCAGCGCGTATGAGAAGGGGGGGGCAATGGCAGCAAGCGTTGAACTTGTTTGATGCTATGCCCCAGGCAACGGTGCAGCCAAATGTCTTTAGCTACAGCTCTGCGATCAGTGCATGCGAAAAGGGCATGCAATGGCAGCAAGCATTGAGGATGTTGATGGCATGGAGGAGAAGAATATAATTTCAGACTTACAGTAGTTGAGTATATAATGCGTTGTTTCAAGTGCTGCAGTTCATTCTGGTGATCTTTCGGTAGGCATTTCTTTGTGGCGGCAGAGTTTATTCGAGTGCGGGAGTGGTGGAGCTTGCGGTTGTTTTCAACAGCCACTACTTAGACTCAGACCCCGGATCAGATAACATAGCAAGTCTGGAGCAGAGTTCATCGCCAGTGTCTGCTATGAACGCTGGTACTCTGCTCCAGACTTGCCATGTTGGTTTTGTCATGTCGTCGGCTTGGCCGGACGACGCTGAAAGAAGCGGTCGACACTGGAGAAATGGTTCACCACCGTGGAAGACAGCCGCGCAGATGTCGCGACCCAGGATGACCCTGAGATGGCTCGGCGACTTTGCCTCGAAAAAACCCAAGGTGGTTTCGGGTTCACTTACGTCAGGCGACCCTGCAGAAGTTGCTTTGAAAGCAAGTTCAATGCCTTCACTTTGGGCATCGACCGATGTTGGCTATAGGGCGACCGGCTGGTGGTGGTGCTGCAAAAAGACCTCTCATTCTGGATGGTAGCTAATCACTCCAGACTCCTGTGACTGTCCAGGCTGGTGCCTCTGGCTGGTGGTGTTAAGGGCCCCTTACAAACAGAGGAGCTAGCGAACGAATGGACATTCAGACAGAGCTTGCTAGATTTGCGTGTCAGTGTTCGTACATTGTGGGGAGTGGGATGGAATAGATATGTAATTGTCCTAAACAGCTGACCTGGGTTCACATTCACATGGTAGACCGTGTGGAAAGCTGAGTGGTTTGTAAGACAGCAACCATACCTGTCGAGCTCGAACCACCATCTATTTATATAATAGTCTTTGACAAAGAACATGGAACGACCATTGTTTTACTAAGGATTTTACACAACCAAATCAGATCAACCATATTTTTAAAAAGGTCTAAGACTTCTAGGGAAGATATATATATATATAATAATCCTGGGGCCCTGTTTTGATAGGAAGTATAGGAAGTTGGACCACATATTTTGGGTGGCTGCTGGTCCAACATAGAGGTCGGTCACTCAGGTTCGGGTGGAGCTCTTCTATACACATCTATTGATGGGGTTGATCGGTTGGGTCGTGACCGGTCCCATGTTCACCATGTTCACCAGTCACCCGTCGTGACCGGTCGCATGTTTGTTTCGCATGTTCCGCGGTAGACGGACCGACCTACATGGACCTGAAATAGCCACGCCCGGTGGGTTTCCAGGAAAAAAGGAACTGGATCCAGTCCTTTAAGAACCTGGTCTATGCCATAGTGTGGGTTCTGCCATCAGCTTCCATGTGACGTTTCTTTGCTTTAAGTTGGCGCAAGGGGCCACCAGCAGGCCATGCATTTTCACCCACAAGCTGGCTGTTGCATCACCGCCACCCGTTGCACCTGAGGCCACTAACCTTCCGGATGTCAACGAGCAGCTTGGTGAAAGGCGGCAGGCCCCAGTTCTAAAAGCAATTCACCAAGTGGTCTTCGCATGACAGGAGCCCCGTGCACGTTTGGCTCCGTGTTGGCCAGGCCTCACGTGAGCCAGGCATCACGTGAGCCAGGCCTTAGCTACAAGAAACTGGGTCCATCGTTCTTCGTAAACCTTGAATAGATGGAGAAGGGCGTTCGATGCATTTGTTGTGGGGGTTTCTGTTCTACCTATCTTGAGGTCACTTCAGTTTTTTGTGCACCAAGAGGCTTTGTGGATGTGCCTGAACACACAACAATTATCTCAGGGAGGGTAACCCAAAAACAGGGAATGAAGGGTGTAAGCTTCTTTCGATTTCCGCATCAGGCAATCCTTTCTCCACCCACTACTATAGCGATGGCCTCCAACCTGATAGCCATGGCCTCCAACCTAATTCACTGGAAGCTACTGATGCAATGCTAGAGAATCTTCAATGTGAGTGATTGGGTGGGGGATGGATGTGCACGAAAACCAACATTCTCATGTCCTGTGGCGGAGCAGCTTCGTTTGACGATACCGTGCAGGAAGAATTGTTCTTCATATTTCCCAAGCAATCACACTAAACTAGTCAGGGCCTCCGATCAACCTTGGTCAACCCAACCACTATGGACTGGTATAAATAGTACTTCCTCGGTGCGAGGCACAATCGGAATGGTTTTCAGACATGCAGGTACTGCAACCCAAGCTGTTCCCAGGTACTGTAGGATCCAGTTTCGGAGGGTTTTTTTGGGGAAGTTCCGACCTCTCACTGTGCCACAGCGGCCAAGCTGGCGTGAAATGAATCCCAAGAAAGCTGTCAATGGGCCAGCAGTCACATAGTTGCTGGCTTTCCCGGTTCCCGGTCGGAGCGTCGGAGGTTCGGAGCTCTGACGGAGGACCCCCTGTCACGTCCCATCCACGAGCCACAGCGGCCAAGTGTATGTGACCATCCACTCTGTGGGCTTTCAAGTTTCAAGAGTCAGAAACCATCCCTATATGAATCCGAATCCACATACCAACCCCGAGGTACGGTGAGGTACGGGAGACTATTGATTCAGGCGGTCGCGTCCAAGTCTTACCGAACCGGAGGGTCCGGTGGTAGTGGATCCTTCTCGCGCATGGCATTGTTGAAGTCATGCCGAGTTGGGAGTACGTACTTCTGTCCCACTGCTACCCCAGGAAACACCGGCGCATTCGAACCATGCTGAGGGATAAGACCAACGCGCAACTCACCTATGACTTCTTCCTCCCCTACATGGCAGGGCAAACCTTGGAGCAAGTGAGAGAGGTGCCTAGGCGGACATCCGGATGTGGGCTCTTTGAACGATGTTGAATTCCTTCGGATGCTTATTTTGCATAGGGAGATGTCCGAGTTCAAACCCTGGAAGGTGCAGCTGCTACTTTAAGCGGTTTCAGGGTATATAAATAGAACTGTCTGTGTTTTAGATCGGGGGTCCGAAAAAAGCACCTTTTGGAGATTATGATGACTTACTCTGAAACTGCTGTATTTGAGGGAGATGCTCTTGAAACCATCCCCTGCAAGCAGCAAACACTGCAGGTGATACGCATAGGGGATGCGTCATAGAGGGATCATCGCGCTTTTTGGAGCATAGGGCGGACATAGAGAGGTTTGGTGAGAGTCCCGTCGAACTGAATGATGAAGTCATTGTGGATCATCTCATCCACATCGTCCGACTTCGTGAAGTTCACGGGTTGTCGAGCAGCAGAACCTCTACTCATGCCAGCAATGATACCTGATGATGCCCTATAGGCCGAAGTAGACCTACCTAGAACCCATTTGATGTTCAGAAAGGAGCGCTCTGAGCGGCGCGTTTTTGCATTGTTTCATTTTGTTTGTATTTTGTTTCTATATTTGTATTGCGTTTCTATTGATTTTTGTGCCACTGAAAGAATACTATTCTGCCTCAACCCCCCCCCTCCCCCAAAGGCAATTTCCAAAATTCCAATTTTCCAAAATTCCAATTTTCCAAAATTCCAATTTTCCAAAATTCCAATTTTCCAAAAAAACAAAGAAACCAAAAAAACCAAAAAAACCAATTGTGCCAGGACTTTGCCTCACCCCCTCTTCCCCCCATGGTCTGTGCAGAATTGTTTTTTTTGGTTTTTTTGGTTTCTTTGGTTTTTTTGGAAAATTGGAATTTTGGAAAATTGGAATTTTGGATTTTTTGATTTCCTGGGATGTTTTAAATTTTCAATTTCCTTGGAAGTAGACAATACTACCACTTTCTCTCAATTCCAGAACAGTCTCTGAAACCCTCAGTGATTTGTTCATTAGGGTCTAATAATGCTCCTTCTGCTCCTTTAACTCGAAAATTGGTAATACCTGACATTTTAGAATTATAACCAGTAAAATTGACATCTGCAATTTTTTCAAATGACATACCAATAATGAATTTGTTCTTTCTGTATTGACGATACGAAAAACTTAAACTGTCATGTACTGTATAGCTCTTCTTAAATAGTAAAAGATTTATGATAATGATTGCGCTTCAAATTCTGTGTATTTCTGGGAATTGCTTAATTGAATTTGCCAACTTAAACTACGGGTGGCATCTTGAAAACCTTTGTACCTTGTAAGTCATTTGTATCAGCATTACCAGTATCATTAATTCTTCCATAGATCATAGGATTAATTCCATCTCTTATATACATAATTGTCAGGTAAGTATCGGTTCAGTTCTTCACCACTCCTTGGAGTTCTAAATAAGGTAATGAATGCTCCAGTCAGTTTAGAAGATGATTTTACAATATTCATATTAATTTCACCACCACCAGCATTGAATGTTTGGGTGATTGTGTGATAACAATTTGTAATGTTTCTTATCTTTGCCATTCCGCCCCCTTCTATGTCCTGCCATTCTAACACTCAATGGCTGACAAGTAGCACCAATATAGACATCGTCATTTTGTCATTTAGTATTCTGTAAAATTTTGCCTTGGAGTAATCCACCATAACATTACATATTTTAACTAAGTTTAAATGTTGTTTTTTAAATGAGTGATTGGGGTTAAATCCATTGCTTATATTGGTGCCGGGATTGATGTTCCAAAGGCCGTTCCCTTCAAAATTGATATAGCTGTGGCTCATTAAAGGGTTAGGTTCTTTCAAATCAGAAGTTACAGCGTAACCATCCAACATTGAAACAATATCGGATGGATTGAGGTAGTCAAGTCTTTTGGGACTTTTGTTCCTTTCCTTTTTGTTTTTATTGTAGGGGTAGCATAGGTTGTTGTAGCAAATGTATTAGGTTGTTCTTGATTGATCTTATTACAGCACTTGCAAGGTTATGCCCAACCAAACGGGTTATTTCTGGTGACTTTTCCAATTCTTCTATAACATGTTTGTATTTCTCACTGTGATGAACAGTTCTAGTAGGTACTAATAACAGATCATCCATAATATCCCTTGTTAAAGATCCATCACAACCACCTGTGCCACTTATGTATAAAGTCTTACTTGTTTTGTAAAAAGCACTTGGTGATGAATAGGCATTCCATAAGCCCCTGCGGTCTTCTATCTTCTCCTTGTTTGCTATATTTTTCTCTTCAGCATATAGTGTTCTATGTTGTTTAAAGTGATCATTTAAGTTTCTTGTAAAGTCATTCATTCTATCATTCCAATTTTGGTTCTTTTTTTTCATAATCACTGTAGGTTTCTTGACCGATCTTACTGAATAACATCTGGGCGCTTCCAGGCAGATCCTTCCAGGCAATGTCAGACACATCAATCATTCTCAAGAAAACGCATGAAAAAGGTTGAAAAATGCTCATTTTCATCGAAAAACGCGCCGCTCACAGCGCTCCCCTCTCTTGATGTTTGTTTTCGTAGGAAAATATTTTATGTTTTCTCCAAAACAGGGATCAGTCAGGTTCTAGGTACTTCCCCCAAGCCTAAACTCTCGCCTTACTGTAGCAGCAAGCCCCTCGACGTGGCGAGCACACACTCGCCGCTCAGGCCTCCGAGAAGACCGCCGATTCGGAGGACCCGGCGTTGGATTGGCGCACGCCTGCGGCTCGGTTGGAACGAAGACCCCGACCGCCGGGCGATTCGGGTTGGGACCGGGCACCGCGGTGCCCTTGTCGCGCGTGAACGAACGTGCCGTGTCCTCTGCGGGTATGATATGAAGCGACCGGAAGAGCAGCCGTTTGTTGTAAAGACGTCCCAGAGTTTGCTTGAAAAGCGCTCGTTTTTGTAAGCGATCATCATTTTGGTGGGCGAAGTGAAAGATCATCACCCGGACCTGTATCGTGCTACTTCGAAGCGGTGAAATTGGCTCGTGTTTTACGAGCAATTTCACCACTTGTTCAGGGGTTCAAAGGTCGGAGAAAAAGGACCTTTTATCCATTGGAGGCTTGGAGGAATTCTGCCTCAGAGCTGGTGGAATTCTTCGATCCTTGCGCAGGGGCCTCGCCGCTCCTTTCGACCGAAGCTGGTTCGACCGAACCCGGTCGGCTCTTACGGATCTGATGTCCCAGTCCATGGCATCAGGTTCCACGGGGCTCTCAGAACCCAGGCGTCTCTTTTTCACCCAGGCGTCTCAGGTTCGATGGACCAGTTGAGACATCAAACAGAAGATGGAGAGAACAAAAGCATCTGAACCTGTTAGTAGCCTGAGACCTTCATGGACAGACGTCCACCATTTCTTTGAAATTTGTTGCGCGGCACTCCTTTGGTATTTGTGAGTTGTGAGCACTCCTTAGGGCCTCCTGCAACCCAAATGCTTGACTGAAAGAAAGATCCACGAGTTTCTCTGAGGTCTATGGGCGCTCCAGGAACAACTTCCATCGTTGCCTTTTGGACGCCTTGCACTACTGCCTGCGAAGGCAGCGTCAGACGCGTCATCAGACCATTTTGTCCGATCTCCAACTCGAGATGTATCCCCTGGAAGACGATCATTGGGACCCTGAAAACCACTGAAAACCCAGACACCATCGTGACGTGTGGGGGCTTTGTGGTGGTTCACGTGACGTGTTGATGAGACTTGCGTACGAACCTCGGACTTCGTTCGACCAGAGCTGCACTGAGTTATTGGCCGAACATCTACACGAAGGCATGCGGAAGACGACACCCACATCGGCCAAGCTGAAACTGACACCGCTAGATGACATGGACGGCACAGTCCCTCACGCTCATTCGCAGTTCAGCCACCAGTGCAGAAGACGGGTTTAAGAGTCGAGCGGTGGTGAACCGGGGGGGTTCTTTGAGGGGTTCTCTGGGTTCATGGGTTCTTTAAGACATGGGGAAAATATCCGACATGGATCCAGACATGGGGGTTTTCTGAGTCTAGTTTTGACTTTGGACCAAGAACTTTTGACTTTGGTTTCCATCTTCTACATCCCTTCCAGATGTCCACACATGGACCAACATGTAAATGTTTGCCATACACTTCCTTGGAATCAGAATGGAAGTGGAGAATGGCCCCTTGGAAGACCATGTTTCTTTCTCTACAAACAGGTGGTTTTCAATCCACGTAACGATGATTATTCCAGGGAGTGCGGGGAGTTGATGGCACAAACCGTCCAAAAACCCTCAGTTGACAAGCTGTGGGATCCATTTTGGTGCGATGAGACTTTCAAAAGTGGAGTGGTGCCTGCTGAGTTGGTGGTGCTACACCCCTGAAACGCCCGGACGTCACTCAAAGAATCCAACGCACTGCGAGTTGCTCTTCCAACTGCGTGGCTCTTCTTACTACTTGCGACGCCCGATGTTTTATAGAGGAGGCATCAGCCTCGACAAAAACAAGATCATCCATGATCACCTGCCATGGGCCCGAAAAGTCCTAATTCAACTAAGGCACTTGTTACTAGTAGCGAGGCACTTATATATATTTGGCATCACAAAAAGCATTGGAAATGAGATCAGACACGATGGGTGACCATGTTCAACCCTACTGGACCGAACCCTACTGGTGGGTTCTCATGTTATCCAATAAGTGCGCAAGGTCAGGACTCACTCATCGCTCTGCGACAGGAATGGTCTCAGTAAAGCGCGAACCAAGCTGGTGAAGTTTTGCCTGAGGCGACCGCGAGCCGGGGGGCGTCTCGTCGGTCGAACCATGTTTGTAGTGGTTGGCTGAGGCACGATCCAAGGTGTTGGGCAGTCGAAAGATTGGGTCAAAAAGAGAGAAGTAGTGACCGATGACTAGTACTATTGAACGTAGGCGAGAGTTTTTATTAAACACATTTTTTGTAAAGAATTGCCATGTTATCCACTCACACAACAACCATCAACAACCCATGTGAGTCTAAACAGAGATTGGCTTCACAGTTACCTGTAAGTTGATGGCAAGTACACGTGGTGCCACAACTAGCAGTACTAGGGAAGTGGGAGAACGTATGAAAGTCTCTTCAACACCTGGAACCGCCCAAGTTCGGCGGTTCCGCTTTTTGCGATGGCCACGCCGGCCATTCCCGGCGTTCCCGACGCCTGGTGCGTGTCAACGACCGACCGGTGCCTCGTGAAACGCACAAAGCGCAGACCTTTGAGGGGAATTGTCAATGACCACCACATAATAGAATAGACAATTCATGAATCAATAAACAATAGAATAGAATAGATAATAGAATAGACCTTTGGGGGGAATCTGAACAGAACAGAATAGAACAGAACTTGTTTCATGAATCTGTGGACAGAAACTTCAATTCATGAACAGAAACATGAATCATGTGGACATGAACAGTTTGGAAGAATTCATTGGTTTGGAAACATGACCTCTGTTTTCATAGGAACATGTTTCATAGGAAAAGACCATGTTTTGGCTCCAAAACAGGGGTCAGCCAGGTTCTAGGTATATATATATATATTGTATATAACTATCTATATTGGGTTGTCCCAGTCAACCTGTACTGTAACAGTCGGTAAAAGGTCCTTATCACTAGTTTAGAGATGTCGGCCTACAGCTGAACTACACTCATGCACCGGGCCCTGGTAATGGGATAGACCGATAGACCCAATATATATATATACACACACATGTATACTGTATACCTCTTCAGGTTTTGTAGGAATGTCGTTAGCAAATTAGCAAACCTTAGGTCTCTCTCTGACCAATTCAAGCCCCAGAGTGGTTGCTTGGTCAAGATCAAAGCGATGAGACCATTTATAAACAGAAGAGGAGGATCTAGATGTTATACATGTGCACTGCAATCTTCCAAATCGCATCTTGGAGTGGGGATTATATACTTGAAGTAAATAAAGTACTCTATATACTTCTTTGTTTCTTTTGTACTACACTTCTGCAGGACATCTTTGTTGCGCCTGGCTTCCAACGACGTGAAGGCAGGGAGACCTTCCGCACTCGTTTGCAGTCCGACTCAGGGCATCCAGGGAGTAGGTAGGTAGAAATGCTCCACACCATTTCTACACCATTCCACACCTGTTTGCGATCTGTTCAAGATTGACATGTCAGAATTCCAGACAAACCAGGTGATCTGCTCTTACGACCCAACGCTGTTCCTTCTTGCTCAACCGGACGGACCCGGTCGAACATCAGACCAAAACGACGGTCGTACGGTCGCTTCGACCTCCGACCCGGTCGAACTGAAAGGCGTTTTCCTCGGAAGTGGCAGAAAATCGATGCGAGGTACGAGCAAGTTCGATCCCGAACTGGATGGTGACCAGTGGGGATGACTAGCATTTTACGTTTTTGTTTAAATGACATTACCATAATTTGACCTCACCTGAGCAGGTGAGAAGAATGGAATTGAGAATTGAGACCATGAATTTCACAGGCTTTACCAAAGAGCCATTCTTTGAACTACGGACTTGACATGAACACCAGGTCACCTCAGGTCACCTCAGGTGGTCCAACACCGGTCATCTCCATGGCTACGGCGCAGTCCCGGTTGGGGGCAGCGCTTCGTCTTTACCGCCGCTCAGGCGGTGTTGGAGCTCAGTGGGTCGGATCGGACCTTGGTGAGGATGCTGTGCAAGCAGCGCCTTGGAGAAATCGGAAGGGTGAGTGAGTTGTCAAGAAGGAGTAGTAGTACTTAGTAGTATATATACAATATATACATGGATCTTACTCAGAGAGGATGATGAACGGATGTTTTTTTGGACTTGGGTCTCTCCAACAAGGCCTGCCCACTATTAGACTATCATCATCAGTGATCATCACTTTAGGGACTTTTTGCCGTGAAAATCACCTGAAAGGTGGAGGATCAGCAAAGTGAATCAAACACCATGGGGAACCCCACCATGGTTCAGCCAGGCACATCCCCTTCTTCCTCAGAGTCCAAGTGATTGGCCTTGAGGACGGCAGAAGCCTGCCTCCTCCGGGCTTCTGCCGATGGGAGATCCGAATCCACCCCACCAGCGAACCGACCCGTCGGTGTCGCCGGAGCCGCTGAAGCGCAGCGTGCGCCCCACGAGTGCACCACGCTGCGTGGTTGGGGTCGTCCGAGCCCCGCGCGTTGGGGTCGGTGACGAAGGTGGAGTTCGGACCGGTTCGGAGGTGGAGTTCGGTGACCCACAAGGAACTCCAGGAACAGAAGTAGCCCATTTTGATATCAAGATAAATTCGTGCTGAAATGGGGTCAGCATGAGGAGTCCTGATGGAGGTGGGTGTCCTCAGTGTTTTTTGAGAAGGAGCGACATCCGTAGACTGGTCTCTTTTGCTTCTTCCAGGGGGGGTCGTTGCCTGGGAGGTCTCCTTCCTCCTGTTGGAACCATCGTCTTCCAGGTCCATGCCAAGCGCGCCCGGTTCCAGGTGGGTCTCGGAACCTCCGAGGTGTACCTCTATAGACCTGAAAGAGACGACTGACGGACTGCGAGCTTGTAGGGAATACGGGAAGTTTCGCTCGGTTCCTGTCTAGAGATTCCCAACTGGAGCCAGCCACCCTCAGCCACCCTACTTTCGGCGCACAAGTCAGACAAAGGTCAGGCATGGCAAAGCCATACACAAATAGTTCTGAAAAAACAAACATATATATATATATATATTGACATGATCATTGATAAAGATATAGTCTGATTTATGCTTGTTTCGTCCAAGACCCGCTTATCCTGGCGCTTGTTCTTGGCGCCTTGGCGCCTCCGCTGAGGGTGGCTTTCACTGCAGCCAAGCTTTCGAAGGTCAGGACCTGAGTGTTCTGCTGACAGAACATGACTCGCTCCCTACCCAGGAAAAGTGAACATCTGCACAACCATTTTTTGGGGATTCATTTCCCACTATGAATAGATGGAACCAAGTTAACCTTTGTTTCTTTCAGGAAAACTGAGGGAATCAGTGACAGAACCAAGTTTTTGTTGGGTCTCCAAGTATCTCAGAAGGTAGCAACTCACAGGGAACGACGTTCTTCCAACCGGATGACCTCACATGATTCCACCACGAATGGAGGTCAATTGCTTGGAGCTTTGTCTTTTTCGAGAGTGGATACAGTTCCGAACGTGGGGGCCCCATGCCCCCCTAGAGGCTTGCGTTCTTCTCAAGTCCCGTCCCCCTGAAGAGTTCGCATCCATGGGGTTGGAAGAGTTACCTACTGTACATGGATGGGTCATACATGGGCTGACGGACTGCGACGAGTCGGGCTGGGAATCAGGGAAGGAGCTCGCTCGCCTTCGCTCGGTTCCTGTCGAGATTCTGGATCGATCGCCACCCTCAGCCACCCTGCTTTCGACGCACCAGTCAGTCGGTGTGGGTTCGGAATCGGGGGACCTGCTCGTCCAAGGCGTCGCTTCCGACGGGTCAGACCCGACCACCCTGTCCCGGCCTGTCCCTTCCGAAAACGATGGTGGATGGATAGGTCGCAGCTGGTGATCCGTGGTTCTTAGGGCGGTTGATGGTTTGATCCACTCTTCCAGTCGGTTCTTACTCCATCTGAACAGAGTTGGCAGTGGGACTCAGATTCATGTTTCCTGTGGGTGGATCACCTTCGTGCGAAGCCCCTGGGACACATGTCTTCGTTTTTTTTGGGGTTCCGGGTTCCTGGAGAGCAAATCCACTCAGCAAATCCACCCTGGTAACTCAGTCAGAACCTCTGTGGTGTTTGGGACGTGTAAAATCCTTAGTTGATTCAGGATGACCCGCCCATTAAGTTAATGGTGGGCCAGGAAGCGGAGTGGGTTCCCTGTCTTCGTCAGTTCGTCCGATCCACAGGTTGGCCATTTGAATCTCGACGGGCTGCGGCAGATCAAGCAGACGGTCGATGAGGTGCCGCCCTGTTGGGTTCGTTTTCTTTCTTTTTCGCATCGAAGATCTGCTTCTTGGAAGCTTCCAACCCCCGAACCATGGATTCTTGGCCCAAACCATGGATTTAAGAGCTTGAGTCCCGAAGAACCCTGGGTCTTAGTGATTTCACACTACAACCACCAGGTGAAGACAAATGGCCCGAACATCGAACGGGTACAGCACAACCAGGCTCCGGAGGGCTCTGGGAAAAAGGACCAACACCGCCACATCCGCGCGTTTCGCGTTTGGGGCCGTGCTGCTAACCCTGGCTGCCGATGCCGAAAATAGCCGCTTTGAGCCACACCAATGCAGTTGTGCACTAGACTATGTAGTAATATGTAGTACATACCTGGTCATCCCTTTGCGGCATCCGTTTGCCTGGATTGGCCTCGATGGTTGCGGGCAGCAGAACTAACCGATGGCCGATGGCCCACGGGGAACGAAGACCCGAAGAGAAGAGTGAGGTCGCGATGTGAGGTCGCAATCAACCGTGCTAACCTTTCTCCCTACAGGTCAGGTGCTTTATCTCATTTTACTGGCAGTCATAGGAGAGTTGCAGGAGGAGGAGTTCGGACCAGGACCAGGTTTTTCCTGGGTCAGACTGGACTTGTAGGGTCTATATGATCTGTATGAGTCGATATTTTCCAACGAAGAGAGGTTGGTGGAAGAAACCCAAAGCCGACGAGATGGTAAGTGAATGCAGTAATCTGCCCATCTGCAAAGGTGAGGTCAACTTCCTTTTATTTTTTTCATTGTTTCCAATATGTTTCTAATAGCGATGGCCTCCAACCAAACAGCGATGGCCTCCAACCTGATAGCAATGGCCTCCAACCTAATAGTGATACCCTACCCCTGTCTTGAATGGTGAACAAAGTTGCTACATGCTTGGACCTGCTTGCGTAGGTTGTGTGCGGAGTAGACGGCACATCTTCGTGGAGATGCTTTGAAATGCTCTCCATGAGCGAACATTGGAGTGGCATGGATTACATGATGATACATTAATATTTCCAGGTCAGTTTCCTTCAGCAGCTGTTTGACCAGGGTGTAGTGTTCATGCCATTGGAGGAATTCACAAGCTTCGGTTGACCACTACAGATCCGATCCCGTTTCTCGGATGCAGGTGGAAACAAAGCTCTTGCAGAAGACCTGCAGTGAGGGTACTGCCTCCAAACCACCTCTGTGGCTTGGCAGCGCTGCAACGGTTCTGGGCTGCAAACCTCGTCCCAACCAACCAGAACTGGATGGAGCTCCCCAGTCCCAGCTACTTCCTATGTACAAAATCTCAAAGCAAAGCCATAGATTGGAACAACCAGAACTGTTTCTGGTTGAGACTGGGTTTTCCGGGCTGATCTTCACCCAAACCCTGAAAACCTCAGTGAAGTGGCAGTCTTTTTGGGAGGACCCTCGACGAACCAGTGAAACGGATCAGAGCGGTCCAACAGCTGCAGGGAATTCGCCCCTTTTTCCATGTATGTTGGGGTCCGGTATAGTAATAGGCTCAAGTTTGTGGAGAAGATGGGAGTGCTCAAGGCAGAAATCCCGGATGGACATCTAGTGAGGAGTCGCATGATCAAAGTCAAGCCTTGGCAACTCTGCTCATAGCTCCGAATCCAAGCTCCGTGCTGCTTCAACTCTAAGGATCTTTGGATCTTCAACTCTCAGGATCAATGGTGTAGAGTCCCCAGGGTGTGGAGGTCCCCGAACCCCGTCAATCAAGAAGTATGGTCCTTTTCAGAGGCCTCCAGAGCCAAGCCTCCAGCTCTTCACCCTAAACCCTAACCCGGGCCTACCGTGCTTTCATTCCAACCGAGCCCCAAAACAAAGCGACCGAAAGAAGCAACCGCCAGCGCCAGCCGCGTCCAAGGTTGGACCTGTGTACCGGCGAATCGTCTTCTCATGTGGCCCTGGGCAAGGCAGTTCCTGGGCGTTTGGCGGATCAGGTGATGTGTTTAGGTTCCCCCAACTCGCATCCCACTGCCTGGGGGCATCAGGATCAAAAAGACAAAACAACATGTTCAAAAAGAAACAAAACAAGATCAAACAACATAATCCTGACTAGGTCCCCTGGTCCTTAGGTCCCCTGGTCCTTTGGTCCGTTGCTCCTTTGTCCCCTCTGGTCTGCTGCTCCCGTGGTCCTTCAGTCTCCTCTGGTCTCTTGCTCTCCTACTCCGCTGGTCCCCTGCTCCTTCGGTCTCTTGGTCCAGTGGGCACCTAGACCTAGGCCCTTGGTCTCCTAGTCCGCAGGTCTTATGGTCCTTCAGTCTTGGTAGCTCCCTAGTAGAGAGATAGCTTCCCAGTGGGGTGCTAGCTCGCTGGTAGGGTATTTCCCAGTAGGGGGATAGCGCTGTATATACTTGATTTGCATTGCGGGGGTTATACATGAAATGATCACTTTTTAAAATAGTGTTTTTTGTTGTTTTATTGTTATTACTTTTAACATCAAATAGGAAAATGTGCTAACTTTATTTAGGGCGGGTTTATTAACCAGGGCGGGAACTTGGCTAACTTTATTTCGGGTCCCTTTATTAATCATATGTCAACAATACTATCTTCTTTGCATTGACAGTCCCACAAAGGTGGATGATACGGCCGACCTTTGCTTAGCCGTGGGCCGTGGCTGCGCTCCCCCCCACCCCCTCCCGCTCTTTTAATAGTTCACACTGCCATCCACTACCCCTACTATTGCCAGTGCCTCTATCACTCCGACCACCCCACTAGGAGTCTTACCACAGTTACCACAACTACTATCTTCTTTGCGTTGACGCTGCCACAAAGGTGGATGATAAGGCCCACCTTCGCCTAGCGTGACAGCCAGAAACCTTCGCTTAGTAGGAAGCGCCCCCCCCCTACTACTACTACTACTGCTACTGCTACTGCTACTGCTACTCCTACGCCTACTACTCCTACTCCTCCTACTCCTACTACTCCTACTACTCCCACTACTACCACTACTACCACTACCACTACCACTACCACTACCACTACCACTACCACTACCACTACCACTACTACTACTACTACTACTACTACTACTACTACTACTATGATGACGACGACGACTACTACTACTACTGCTATCCCATTCTCTTTTTCTTCGCTGTGAATAATTTTTGATTCTTTTTATTTGATGCTGTTTTTTATCCCTCACCCCTGCTTGGGGGTCTCCCTATTAAGATACCCATCACCCCCGTGAATGGCATGTGAGGAGACCCAATCCTCAGGCGGCGAATGATCATTCCCAAGAGAGTCAACCGATGTCGGAGTCATCGTGAGCTCTAATACAAGGCTTTTGGTCGTGTAATGGTATGCAGAGGTCGCCTTAGTGTTCTGAACTGGAGACAAGAATGTCCATCGAAGTGTTTCTGCTTCAAAAGCGAGGGACAATCCTTTGTTGTTTTGATTTGGCAGACTGTTGAGCTGAGCTGGTGACTGTTTCATATCCTGTGGGTTTGTCTGGGCTCACATCTGGTGACCCTTTGCCTGGGAGGTCGACCTGTTTTGTTCTTCACACGAGTCGATTGAGCCCAGAGAGGAGGATCCCAGTGACACATCATCTACGTTGACATCGCTGGATGAGTCTGTTTCTATTGGAGGATCAACCCAGACATTCCTTTTCAGAAGTGAATTGCAAAAGCTGAGGTTGACTGACTGGCTGGCCCAAGGAATAGTGGATCTTAGTTTCTCCTCTCTTCTGTTCCTTGGTGCTGCCCATCGTTTTTTTTGCGCACTCCCTGTCCTCAGGCAGCTTCACTGCAGGCGGGGGCAACGGACAGTTTTCGCTGTGCCAAGGTTTAGCTGTCTTAAAGAGCCACTACATGTGGGATGCCTAGAACCCAGACATGACCTCTCTGCATAGTCACAGGTTTACCTACGCAGGGTGGAGGCCATCGCTATTGGGTTGGAGGCCCTTACTACTACTATAGAACAAGAAGCTACGAACGTAACTCAAGGGCATCGCGACTCGAACGTCGCCGCGATCGGACGCTCGACTCGTTACGAATGGGGCGTTCCTGGCATCGCTTCTAGTCATTACCCATACACTCCATGGGACTGCCAGTCCGGACTGCCGCCCCATTGACCCCCCTGGCACCACCCCTGGCCGTTTCTCGGCAGTCCGGACTGGCAGTCCCAGACAGGTTGTGTCTGGGTTATCAGAAGCACTCGTGGACCATCCGATTGACGCGCGCCCTCGCGGATCCTTCGAGCGGATCGCCCCGACCGGGCCGGTCGATCGAGCAGGCGGGCGGGCTTGGGCGGTACAGAGCGATGAGCCCAGCTGGTGGGAGAAAGCTGGCTTCCCAGTCTTTAAGCACTTGTGATGTACGGGATGCCCGAAGGAACAACCAGAAACTGTGTTTGGTTGGGACTGGGTTTGAGGGGAACATCTGAATTTTGGCTAGACTGCTGGACCCTAAACCCTACAAACGCTCAAGTTGATACATCATTCTATATTCTTGACCGCGCAACATGGACTCCACGTCACGTTGGGGCGCATTCTAAGGAGATGGTGCCTTTTTTCCAAAAGGAGAGGGCGCATGCAACGCCGGGAATTGAGAACCCATTTCCCTGCCCATTTCGAGCCGGGCTTGGGCTGCCATCTCATCCCTCCAGCTCTTCCGGAGCTCCTGGTCGATCCACTGAGACCGGACCCACAGGTTCGGCAGATCCATAGGGATGGAGTGCCTGAAGGCTCCCCCGAATCGAATCGCAGGCCTGTGATTCGGCCTCGGGCATCTTCCCGCTCTTCGAACGCCTCCTGCGAGAGGAGCTCGAAGGGAAGGAAGGCGGGGTGACGGTGACTGTAGCACTGGATTCAAAGAAAGCTAGCAAGATGAGGACAAAGTGATGAAGTTCTTGCATGAAGCTGGATTCTTTGGAGTTGGTTTGCTGGACCATGGCAATCACTTCAACCTGTTCTCCCAAAGGGGAGTGACTGGTGAACGTGTGAAAGTTTTCGTATCGATGATGATGACGACGATGATGACGACGATGATTTCCTGACTTTGGACAAATGCTTAGTATAATATCTTATATTATTTGTATTATAGTATGTTTGTTCATTTTTTCCATGTTTTGTTTTCCATTTTGTTTCAATTAATGCAGTTCTTTCCTCAGATTGGACGGATCAAGTCACAGGCCAGGGAACCAGGGTGACGCAACTCGGGGATGGCTTAATCACTGATACAATGAGAAAGTCACACGATTCTATCATATCCTCACAGGAATTCTCAGGCATAGACGCCTCCACTCCCTGAAAGAATCATGGTTATGGGAGAAAACCACCCGTTCGGTATTTGTGAAGGTGGTCATCCTCATGGGGCCATGCCATTGACTTCCAATGAATTCAGGGAGTAACTCTCGCTTTCATCAGGAACATGAGCTGTGCACATTCGTGTTTGTGGAACGAGGTCGATTTCGGTCGAGTCGAGCTGCGGGTTCGGGTCGGAGCTCGGTGCTTGAGCTCGGAGCTCGGGCAGGCAGCGCACTGGATACCTCCCAATTGCCGCTGAGAGGACAAAATTGTCATGTGGGAGCTGGGCTGAACAGGACGGGAGAGGACGATGGACATCTCACATCTCAGACGAAGATGGATCCCCAAGACACTGGTTGGTTGAGAAAACAGGTGCTTAGGAGGTGATTTTTCTCATGCTACATCCTCATGCAAGTCGGGCCGAAAGGTTACAGTCAAAACCGTCCAGTTGGGTGCTGAACTTTCTGCAGGTACTCCTGGCTTTATGGGTACTCCTGGTGATTGTTTACATACTCTTCGCTTCCGGGAGGCGTTCATCCCCCTGTCTCTTCCGGGACTTCCCGGGTGAAAAACCAAGTCGTTGGAGCGAACTTCCCACAGGCTCACGGAGGTTCGTTGTTGGTGCAGGTGGGGTACAGGAGGATCTAGACATTAAGCCAAACGCTCCATGGGACTGCCATATATGCCGATCAGTTGGGGTGGTTTGGGGGGGTCAATGTAGGCATATATGCTATACATGGAGTGTATGGGATATATACCTATTATAGATCTTCCAATCGTGCATTTGTGCCAACCTTGGCTTCTAGATGCGCTTCGGCAAAACTGTCGCACAACAGTTGGAAGATCTAGGTATATCCTCCCTGCAACAGTCCCATGGTTTTGTGGAGTGAGTGAACCCCCCTGAGTATTGTTTTGTGCGAGCCAGTTTGTACAGGGAAAGCCTGTGGCTGCAGCGAACCATGGCTTCTTCAACGGTAGACAGCAGCTTCAGCGTCTTCTCATCCCAAACCTCATGCAACAAGTGAACATATGTTAGGTAGCTGATTCTCTCATCTTGTCATGTGTCTCCTCCTCCTGCTCCTCCTCGTCCTCCTCCGCCCTTCTCCTTGTGATCCTCTTCTCCTTCTTCTCCTCCTCCTGGTCTTCCTTTTTCTCTTTACTTTCTTCATGATCACATCATGCACGTGGTTCCGCACCTTTTGCTTCAATCTTTTTCACAAGGAATGGAGCTCTATTTTCAATTGACAACATTCTCGCTCCCGACACGTTTCAACTGAACTAATCATCGCAATTCCTTGGTGTCATGGTGTGTTTTCTGGATTCTGTGCGTGCCACATCAATCCAGCCCGAGGCCACCAGTGAACTTCGACCTCTTGGCGGGAAAGGTCCGTAGTGCCTTAGCTGATCACTATCCCAAAACGTAGCTCCAACCTGTCAAAGAACCTGGAGCTCCAACACCCTGGTTGGTTGACCATGACGTCCATTCTGTTTGAGTCAAGCAAGGTCGGCCATTTAAAAACCCCCATAGGCCCTGACTAGGCCCTGACTAGTATAGTTTCTCAAACGTTATGATTTTTTTAATGATATGTTATACGTGTGTTTTCTCATGTTTTGATCGGGGCCCTTAATTAGCAATAATAATCATCATCATCTTCTTCCACTGTTGGTGGGACATGTCGAAAGTAGATGCCTCAAGAAGGAGACCTAGGAGGCGCCTGGTGTTTTGGAACATGTCTTGTTCTTTGGCTGCCTCGTGTAATTCAGTGATACCGAGTCATCAAGAGCATCAGAATCATTGCTGAGCTTCTAGTGACGGGGCTTAGAAGCCAAAAGGGAGCTGTTAATGTTGATATACGGGGACTTTTCTAGTTTCCCGAACTGGGTAAATCCTCAAACCTGGGGAATATTGTCTATTTATGTCTTTTTTTCCAGGTTCCTTAAGCAAATCCAAGTTAATGTTGAGATAGCAGATGCAGCACCGGCAGCACTTGTGCTTTTGTTGGTGCCAGCCAAGCATGTGCCTCACAGCCAAGCCTTGCTGAGAATGTGCCCTGCATGTGAAAGTACATTCAAATAAACCGTATGAAGAAGAAAACACATTTGCCACTTGGAACTCCTGCGTGGTGATGAACTCCCACATGGATCATGGCAGCGCTCCCTAGTTGACCCGTGATTCAGCGCTCCCTCGCCCAGTGGCCGTCGGAAAGGATGGGAAAGGCCCCGCTGAGTCGAACCCCGTCGTGCATTGCCCAGACGCGATCTGTCTGGGACTGCCAGTCCGGACTGCCGAGAAACGGCCAGGGGTGGTTGAAGTTGGGGCCAATGGGGCGGCGATAGGCAGTCCCAGACAAGTCGCGTCTGGGTGTGCGTAAAGGAAAGTCGTCTTGCAGCGGGGCCGACACCATGTGATGTGTTCGTCAGAGCAAAGACTCGAGTTCATGCGATTGAACAACGGATTGCGCCCTGAGGCATGAGTGATGCAGTGGCAGCCCTGAAGACCACCGACTACTTGTTGGCACAATTGGACAATCTCAGCCGCTTGGAAGAGTTTTCCTCCAAATTGGGGCCCACCAAATTCGGAGAATTCGGTCAGTGGCTCAAAGGGGTTTAATCAAATCTACAGACGCAGTGCTGCAGAAAAGATGAATTCGGTTCAGGGTGAACATGCAGCAACCCCCATGCAGAACATGAACCAAACCAGCCGACCTAGCTCGTTTTTGTGGGCCAAGAACCATCCTGTATTATAAGTGTCAACCATTGGCCTGAAAACGACATCGTCACCTGTAGTGTGACATCCCACACTACTCCTGAAGGATCCTCCCCAACCCCCACCCGGGCTGACGTGGGTGCCGGGGTGCGGCCGACAGTGCAACAACATTTTTTGATCGAATTGGCGCCAGAGGTTCGAGCTTGCGCTTTGCGCATTTCTTGAAGATTGCCCTGGTGCAGCATGTCTTCACTCGCCACTGGGACAGATGGACAAAAGCATGAGCAAAACACATGTGTTGTCCAAGATTGGTTCGTGGTCGCAAGAATCTCCACACACTTCTGAGATTCCGGGAATCTCAGATTCCCATCTCCGCCGTCGGTGATCGGTGGCTATAGATTTGTTTCTTGTTGGGTTTAGGGTTTAGGGTTTAGGGTTTATGTGGAAATATCAAACCCACTATACTGTAGTCTTGATGTGTAGATATTTCAATATCAAACCCACTATACTGTAGTCTTGATGTGTAGATATTTCAGTGAACACTTGTGAAGCAAATGTTCTTGAAGGTAGCACTTGGGACAAGAGTTGAAGCAGTGACCAATTCTCCACTAGGAGTTGTAAAGCAACCGTGAAGGATAGAATCCGACATCCCCAAATGTGTGAATCCGAACCCAATTCATGAGAGCAAGACTCGCAAGTTGAACAATCGAGATTGTCACCCTTAGTCTTGCTAAATGCAGAACAGTGCATTTGAACCATGATTGCACCGCAGTGCATTGGAACAGTGTGTATGCAGAGAGAGATTTCCAATCCATTTCTTGGCAACAGGACTTGCACGTTGAACATCCGAGATTGTCACCTTTAGTCCTGTTGAATGCACACCAGTGCATGAAAGCAAAGCGTGTGAAACGATTGAGCGTGAGGACAGCTAACCTTTTCCTCGAGAAGTTTGGACACTTTGTACCTAGAGGTACGCGACTTGCAGTTGGTGAGGGTGCTGCACTGTACAGAAATGAATACACGTGGCCCGGACGCCACTTTGGCTCAAGGAGAAAAGAAGAGAAACTAACTGATCATACCAATTATGAGTTGCACTATATTTTTGTATAAGCTTGATTTGAAGTCGGACTAACAGACCGACAGTGTTTTCGAGTGCAAAAGTATTTGTACACTTTGTTTGGTGTCGTTGGTAGTCTCTTGTCGACGCTAGCACCGCCGTGCTGTAGCGTTCGTAGTTTATAGAAGCTATATAGGGTTCAGAGGAAAAGCAAGATGGAACCCACGAACCCGAATGCAAACACGATCGAAAAACTAATATGTCCAAAGGAAACTCTTGTGGGACACTCTTGTAGGACACTCTTGTGGGACACTCTTATAGGACACTCTTGTGGGACACTCTTGTGGGACACTCTTGTGGGTCACTTGCAGGACACTCTTGTGGGACACTCTTACACGACACTCTTGTAGGACACTCTTGTGGGACACTCTTGTAGGACACTCTTGTGGGACACCCTTGTGGGACACTCTTGTAGGACACTCCTGTACGACACTCTTGTGGGACAGTCTTGTAGGACACTCTTGTGGGACACTCTTGTGGGACACTCTTGTGGGACACTCTTGTGGGACACTCTTGTAGGACACTCTTGTAGGACACTCTTGTGGGATACTCCTGTAGGACACTCTTGTGGGGCACTCTTATAGGACACTCTTGCGGGACACTCTTGTGGGACACTCTTGTAGGACACTCTTGTGGCAGACACTCTTGTGGGACACTCTTGTGGGACTCTTGTGGGACACTCTTGTGGGACACTCTTATAGGACACTCTTGTGGGACACTCTTGTGGCACACTCTTGTAGGACACTATTGTAGGACACTCTTAGTAGGAAACTCTTGTGGGACACTCTTAAGGGACACTCTTAAGGGACACTCTGTGGGACACTCTTGTGGGACACTCTTGTGGGACACTCTTGTAGGACACTCTTGTGGGACACTCTTGTGGGACACTCTTGTGGGACACTCTTGTGGGACACTCTTGTAGGACACTCTTGTGGGATACTCGTGTAGAACACTCTTAAGGGACACTCTTGTGAGACGATCTAGCGGGACACTGTCGTGGGACAGTCTTGTAGGACACTCTTGTGGGACACTCTTGTAAGACACTCTTGTGGGACACTCTTCTGGGACACTCTTGTAGGACACTCTTGTAGGACACTCTTGTGGGTCACTCTTGTGGGGCACTCTTGGGGACACTCTTGTGGGACACTCTTCTGGGACACTCTTATAGGACACTCTTGTAGGAAACTCCTGTGGGACACTCTTGTAGGTCACTCTTGTGGGACACTCTTGTGGGACACTCTTATAGGACACTCTTGTGGAACACTCTTGTGGGACACTCTTGTAGGGCACTCTTGTGGGACTCTTGTAGGACACTCTTGTGGGACACTCTTGTGAGATAATTTTGTGGGACACTCTTGTGGGTCACTTGCAGGACACTCTTGTGGGACACTCTTAGGAAACTCTTGTGGGACACTCTTCTAGGACACTCTTGTGGGACACTCTTATGGGACACTCTTGTAGGACACTCTTGTGGGATACTCTTGTCGAACACTCTTAAGGGACACTCTTAAGGAACACTCTTGTGAGACACTCTTGAGCGACACTGTTGCGGGACACTCTTGTGGGACACTCTTGTGGCGCACTCTTGTGGGACACTCTTGTAGAACACTCTTGTGGGACAGTCTTGTAGGACACTCTTGTGGGACACTCTTGTGGGACAGTCTTGTGGGACACTCTTGTGGGACACTCTTGTGGGATTCTCCTGTAGGACACTCTTAAGGGACACTCTTTTGAGACACTCTAGTGGGACACTGTTGCGGGACACTCTTGTGGGACTCTCTTCCAGCTCCCCAGATACTCCACGTACTACAGTTGTGCTACAAGGTCGCCAGTTCTCAGCTTCCAGCTCCACAGATTGCTCCGCGTACTCAAGTTGTACTACAAAGTCGCCAGTTCTCAGCTTCCAGCTCCACAGATTGCTCCGCGTACTAAAGTTGTACTACCAAGTCACCAGTTCTCATCTTCCAGATACCCCGCGTACTAAAGTTGTACTACAAAGTCGCCAGTGCTCGCCTGCATTTCGCGCGCTCGACACGCACGATCTCCGCAGAGGGTTGCGCGGGCACCGGACAAATCGCACTCTCGCCTGCATTTTGCGCGCTCGACACGCACGATCTCCGCAGAGGGTTGCGCGCGCATGGGACAAATCGCACTCTCGCCTGCATGTCGCGCACTCGACACGCACGATCTCCGCAGAGGGTTGCGCGCGCATGGGACAAATCGCACTCTCGCCTGCATTTCGCGCACTCGACACGCACGATCTCCGCAGAGGGTTTGCGCGCGCATGGGACAAATCGCACTCTCGCCTGCATTTCGCACACTCGACACGCACGATCTCCGCAGAGGGTTGCGCGTCAAGTCTCCAAAACGAGCGTTTCGTACGAGACTTCCTCAAAAACTCACACGTCAAAGTCTGCAAAACGAGCGTTTCGTACGAGACTTCCTCCTAAAGTCAAGCGGCAACACCCATCGGAGCACACACACATCACGCAGCCCTGCCAAGCAGTTTCGCGTTTCCAGCCCCTCCAAGCAACATCCGCTCACACGCCAATCCCAATGGGACAGCGACGTTCACCTCTACCACAACTCACAACCTCACGATTCCCTGCGCCTGCCACGAATCTTTCCCCATCCACGCGTCTAACGCGCACAAAGTACTGCGCCTGCCACGAAATGTCACCTCCCTCACACCTCGCAACCTCACGATTCCCTGCGCCTGCCACGAGAATCGCACTTCCACGCTTCAAAGCTCGCACGAAGTCCTGCGCCTGCCACGAAAAGTGACAATATCATCGCATGTGAGCTTCAACAAAATTTGCACCACACCACACGTTTGGAATGATTTCGACCCGTTCAGAGCACACTCCCATCCACCAAAATCGCCATTTCAGCTGAGACTTGTCACGAAAACAGAGCTTCGATGCCACACCCTGAAACGCAAATCCCAATGGCACAGCCACATCCAACACCCCAAAAACACGACTCTCCAAACGCTAATCCCAATGGCATTGCGCAGCAAACTGCGGATCTCACAAAACGCTGCGCCTGTGCAGCGAAATGCATCACGTTTCTTGCGCGACATGTCCGTGTCACGCAAATCACAATGGAATAGCGGTGCAAACTGACACGCGACCCATCCATGCAAAGTCACTTGCAAAAGCTTCCCCCAATGGCAGCAAATTTGAGACGCGACGACGACGAGAGACGACGACAGACGACGAGAGACGACGACAGACGACGAGAGACGACGACACGACGCAAGCCATGCAAACACAGCTCCAACCCCCAGACCCCCAACTATAAACGGGAACCCTTCGCTACGCATTCGGGAAAAGGTGTTTTTTTTTTAAACTTTTTGCTTCCAGGGCTCAAGGGCTCAACCCTATATAGCTTCTGTTTACGCGTTCTTGAGGGTTTAGGGTTTAGGGTTTGTTCTGGTGATAGTAACCTATAGAAATGTCAGTGTTTTGTTCGTGTTCCCTGAACTTATACAAAGGGAACACTATGAACTTCTATGTCAAAGCTTATTTTGCGAGGAATAGTACATGATTGCTGATTGCTGATATTTTCTCATACTTCCTTCCTTATATCTACTGGAATCCAGGTGGGGACAGTATTCCAAGGTACTCAAAGCACTTGTCTGACACGGTTGATACAGGACAGTTCTTGTCCAATCCTCACTCGCCAAACGGGATTCTGACTTACCAATGGGCAGAGGGGCGCTCCAGGTGTCTCTTCAGACAGATGGCGATCCACTCCATCCACTTCAACAGGGCCAATAACTATCTCCAAACTGTGTCCTATGACCGTTGACAGTTGGATATGATATCCACTTATCAAGTTGTCACCATGATTGGTCAAGGCCTTCAGGAATCATCATCATCATCATCGTCATCATCATCATCATCATCATCATCATCATCATCCGCACACACACACACACTTATATACTCCTTCAAAGTAGTTGGGTTTTGAAGAACACCTGGATAGAACTGTTTGTCAGGTGTCAAGCATCGCTTGACAAACAAGCGCACTCAACAGCTCACAACGTCCACCGCTGAAAGACTCAGAAACTCCCTTTTTAATCTACTAGCCATGGCCTCCAACCCACAAGTTACTAGCGATGGCCTCGACCCTACTAGTTAGCCATGGCCTCCAAAATGCCAGAAACTACCTTTTTGCTTGGCCTCCAGGTTTGCTTCCTGTGCCCTTGGGCCCGATCTCCCGCACACGTGGCGTGGATCCAGTCTGGGGCACCACTGCCACGCCAGAGCAGCAGGCGCTCGGTCGCGGCACGTCCGTGCGCCGTACGCCGTGCGTCGGTCGCGTTGCCGTCCGTGCGGCACGTGGTCCGTGGGTTGGAAGGTCGGCTGGAGCCACCAGAAATCGGTCGGAGTTTGGTGTCCACTGGTTGTTTTGTTGGGATGTGAGCACTCCCACAGCCACAGCCACAGTTTTTGGGCGCGGATGTTTTCTGAGGCTCGTGATGTTGGTATCCACTGAAATCCTTGGAAGATCCCAGCATTGGTAAGCCGCCGGAGAGATGCTCGTGAGTGAAGCGGCAGGTGGACACGGCCTTGGTGGTCAAACGTGCCCTGGCATAACAGCTGTTGCTGTGGTTTGTTGGCTGGCTGGCTGGCTGGTTGGTTGGTTGGTTGGGTTTCTTTGGTTTGCTTTGCTTTGTGTTGTCTTGTTTTGTTTGTTTTGTTTTTGGTTTGTTTTGTTTTGGTTGGTTGGTTTGTTTGCTTGTTTGTTTGTTTGTTTGTGGTTGTCGTTGTCGGTTGTTGGTTCTTGGCACACTCAAATCGTTTATATGGCCCTGGTGGCACTTGGGAGCCCGGTCGGTGTTCAAGACGATGGCAGCCTGACTCAGAAGATGTTCCTTTCTCAGATTGTGTTGCCTGGCTTCGCAGGGTCAAAGACGCACAGCGTCTTCCACTTCCTTCATTGATTCTCCACTTCCATCGGCTGACTCCACCTGACTCGCTCCACCCCTCGCTCCGCCCACCTCGCCTCCCACGCTCCAAGCCACAAGGCATTGCGCAGCACTTCGCCATGAGCTGCGGGGCCACGGCAGGCCATCGGGGCTTCGATGGAACGCGCGTCATCGTCCTGGGCACCATGGCCCGGACGCCCAGCTTTCGAGCCCACGAGCGTCCAAAGAAGCAGCCCGTTTCAGCGAGGTCAGCGGCCGTGGCAACTAGTCTTTTTGAGTCTTCATCTTCCAAATCCTTGGTTTTTTTTTAAACTTATTTTTTTCTTCCGAACCGGAAAGCTCCACCTTAAGCTGTCGCCCAGTCTTCCGGTGGCCTAGTGGAGTCTTCCACTTGAGGTGATTCTGATGGATCGTCTCCTTCGACAACCCTTGACGACCACGACCAGCAAAGCCGTGGCCGGACGCATGGACGACGCGCCTTGGAGAGAACCATTTACTATCACTTTGGATCCGAGTCACGACACAAATGGGACGAACATCTGGGGGTTATTAACCTGAGGGTTTTTTTAATAGGCGATGTAGGCATATCTTCCAGTACCGTGGAGCGCTTGGGACTTGCACTTATCACTGTAAATGTGCAAAACCCTTGAGGGAACAATAGCAAAAAACACAGTGCCGGCATCCTAACGGAGGAAGTTCCAATTCTTGAAGCTGGCTGTTGCAAGATTCGCAAGATCATTTTTCTGAAGCTCCTAAACATACCCTGGTTCTAGTTTTTTCCCTCTACAAACCAGTCGTCCATGCCGGAGGGTGTGTTCTCTTATGACTGCAGACAATAGCTGTCCCTTGCAGATCCCATGTGAGATTTAGGACTGACGATGTTTTCACGTCCAAAAACATGGCCATGTCCTGCTTCGCCAGGTTCGCAGGCATGGGTTGGTTCTTTCGTCTCATGCCATCCGTAATTGATGAAAATGGCACCGGTGGCGGACGGTCGCACCCGTCGTCTGTGCCGCCCCGATTTCGGGCCAATCGAGCGACTCACAAGTTGTGGCGCTGTTGCCTTCGACCAGAGTGGTGCGAAGACATGCTACAGGGACAACACTTCCTGGGAACCCAATCACTCCTGCACTAGATACTGGAAGTATTCACAGCTGGACTCAGATTATTTATCACTATTCACAGGTAATGTAACACATGATAGATCACTCGTTCTTCACAGGTTTTGTACTATGGTACATCCATCTCTGTCTCTTGAATCTTCACCGGGCTCAGCAGAGCCAAGTTGGACGGACCTCGCGACCTCGCTCGTCGGACTGCCCCCAGGAGCACGAGGAAGAGACGCGGTTCTTAGTGTCCTGGGAGGTCTATGCGAAGCAGTCTGAGACCTTCTTGCCCCTCAAGCTTCGCCAAAAGCTGGGTGAAGGTGAGACGACCCCCAAAGCTGGAGGGGTGAATGCGAGACTAGATGCACTCCCAAGCAGGACATAGACATGACAAACATGAAACCAACACACGGGATGACATGACAAACTAATGGCAAAGGCAAGATGAGGCAAATGCTTGTACTTACCAGTGGCCCTCAAAACCATGACAAATAAAGGTTTCGGCATACAAAAACCATGGTTTTTGCTAGAGGAAAACATAGATGGTTTGTGGGGCCCCTGGTAGGGGTCCATTGTCCACGTGCATGTGTTCTTCTGGTGGAGGGCTACGCTAGTTGTGTTCCTCAAAAAGGTTGCCTTGGAAGCGAGGTTCCCAACCTCGGGTCCTGCGCGTTGGGTAGATGAATGGATTGAAGTTCAAGGTCCTTTGGTTTCAGGGACATACAGGAGACTTCGGCTTTTCACCCCCGAACATGAGGAGTTTAGCAGCTAGTTTCCGGTAGATCTTCCTTGAACACCAATTCATCCGGATGGATGAACTGCAGAAACCGCTCGTGGATGCTGAAAGATGCCCTGCGGAGTTGGCTCCGTTCGCTCGTCCCAGCGCTTTGTTCGCTCGAGTGAGGCTCTTCTCGCCTGACCTCAATGTAGCTCGAGCACGGACCTTGGCCTACTTCCAGGAGGTGGAGCAGGAGTGCTTGATTGATTTGTTGGTGGGGCCGGCAAAAAACAGGCTGTTTGGAAAACACACGTGGTCTTGACAGCAAAGTCGCAAGAGGTCACTAATTAGGTCAACTTCAATTAATGAAAGGTTGGTCCAGGAGAGATTGTGTGTGTATGTTGGACGGCTTTCAATGGATGTGGTTTTCGGAGTCTTTGCTAGGGATCCTTCTAAAGATCTCTTGTGAGGTTTGTGAATGTTTTGAATAACAACAACTTGTGCTCCAGCTGATTTTCATCAAACACCTCCCCCCCACCTGTTGGCGAACCATCAAACAGTGAGACACCGGAAACATGTTACGAAAGCCAGCCTTCGTAGAAGGCGCTAGCGGAGTTGTGTCTGGCGAACGAAGTGAGTAGTTAGGGGGTCTGGGGGGGGTGGCCCGAGAAAGGGACACGTCAACTCAGCACATGCTGGGGGAGGAGGGTGCTCCGAGGGAAGGTTTTTTGAGGTTGTGTTGGAGGTGATTTTTGAGGGGTGGTGATGCAAGAAATGCCAAATGCATCATTTGCATCATCTGAATGGAAAGGTGTAGTTGGCACCTTGCAAGGTAGAGAGACCTAGGGTAGCTATAGTGCAGCTACCAGGTATAGTACTTCAAGTTCCCTTTCCGTCAGCCGCTTGAGAACCTCTACACACGCACAGCAAGCCACAGCCTTGAAGTCTCATTCGTGCTTTGAACTTGTATAGGTGTGTAAGAGGTATAGCAACATACTACCTGAGAAGCTGCAAAACGAAAGCCAGCGCTTCCCTTTCTCGAGAACTGCGCGTCGAAGCATAGGATAGAAAGGTAGGTCTGCACCCTAGATCCACCATCCCACTCCATTTTCTTTCATTTCTCTACGGCAGCTCCGCTTGGCATTTGCCAGGTGGAGGCGGCCGTGAGACCTCTTACACACCTACACAAGTTCAAAGCACGAATGAGACTTCAAAGCTGTGGATTGCTGTGCGTGTGTAGAGGCTATCGAGCGGTTGACGGAAAGGGAACTTGAAGTACTATACCTGATAGTTGCAAGCAAGGTGCCAACTACACCTTTCTTTTCAAGGTGGCCTGAACAGAGTGTTTCAGGGCAGTAAACCGTGGTCTCAGGCCACCTTGAATTTAGCTTGAAAACCACAGCTACATAGCTACCCTGGGTCTCTATACCTGGCAAGGTGCCAACTACACCTTTATTTTCAAGGTGGCCTGAACAGAGTGTTTTAGGGCAGCAAACCCTGGTCTCAGGCCACCTTGACTTTAGCTTGAAAACCACAGCTTTGAAGCCTCATGCGCGCCATACCAGAACTGTAGCTACTTGTAGCTACCCTGGGTCCGTATAAATAGGGTTTGCTGCCCTAAAACACTCTGTTCAGGCCACATTGAAAATAAAGGTGTAGTTGGCACCTTGCCAGGTATAGACGCCCAGGGTAGCTATGTAGCTGTGGTTTTCAAGCTAAATTCAAGGTGGCCTGAGACCACGGTTTGCTGCCCTAAAACACTGTTCAGGCCACCTTGAAAATAAAGGTCTTGTAGCTACAATTCTGTTCCCAGGTATGGCGCGCATGAGGCTTCAAAGCTGTGGTTTTGAAGCTAAATTCAAGGTGGCCTGAGACCAGGGTTTGCTGCCCTAAAACACTCTGTGCAGGCCACCTTGAAAATAAAGGTGTAGTTGGCACCTGGCCAGGTATAGAGACCCAGGGTAGCTATGTAGCTGTGGTTTTCAAGCTAAATTCAAGGTGGCCTGAGACCACGGTTTACTGCCCTGAAACACTCTGTTCAGGCCACCTTGAAAAGAAAGGTGTAGTTGGCACCTTGCTTGCAGCTACCAGGTATAGTACTTCAAGTTCCCTTTCCGTCAACCGCTCGATAGCCTCTACACACGCACAGCAATCCACAGCTTTGAAGTCTCATTCGTGCTTTGAACTTGTGTAGGTGTGTAAGAGGTCTCACGGCCGCCTCCACCTGGCAAATGCCAAGCGGAGCTGCCGTAGAGAAATGAAAGAAAATGGAGTGGGATGGTGGATCTAGGGTGCAGACCTACCTTTCTATCCTATGCTTCGACGCGCAGTTCTCGAGAAAGGGAAGCGCTGGCTTTCGTTTTGCAGCTTCTCAGGTGAGGCACAGTTCACCGTCTCACTGTTTGATGTGTTGAATTTCATCATCAGCTGTTTGATTCAGCGTTCATGTTCCCTAGGGATCCAAGTACCTCCTCAAAACGTACGACTGGACCCTCCTGGCACCCACCCACCCCAGTCCCACCTTCGAAACGAGGCTACGACTGGATCCTTAGGGGTTGCTCTTCACTGTGTTGCTCATGGCATCATCGTGCCGTTCGCTGTGTTGCTGATGGCACGGCCGTCGCGGTGCGCACCCGTCGTCTGAAGCATCCAGATCTGACTCAATACTCAACTGACTGGTGCTTAGTAGGGAATGAGCCCCAATAGAGATTCCTTTGGATCCACTCCCTCATTCCCTACTAAGCACCAGTCAGTCAAGAACCAATCCCAAGGAACCAGGCGATTTTGCGATCGCTTAGACTTCAGACTTGATACACTTCTACCAGATGTTCAGTGGGACGAAAAACAACCAGTTTCGTTTTTCATTTTGAGCTGAACTCCAGGGGAACTCCCCTGGTGTGGAACTCTGTGGAACTTCTTCCTGTTCCACAGGAAGCGCGAGAGCAGGGCGCCAAGATCAAGCACATCTTCCAGTGGGAGCGTGATGGCAGCCTGGTTCAAGTGGAAGCTGGATCCAATCAGCTTCCGGGAGGGTGACATGTGACACCCCAAATCAAAGATGCAGTTTCCATGAAAACAAGTTCCAAGTTCCAAGTTCCGTTTCCCAAGAGGTGGTGAATGGAGGATAGGTAGGTGATATGTTAGCCTTTTGTATGCACACGTATAGGTACATAGATGGCATATTGTACAGTGTGAAGTTGATGTCATTTGGATGAGTAGTATCTGTTCTTATCAGTTCAACCGCCATAGCGCTCGGGTTCAAAATAAAGCTGCTGCCTAACATGGTAGCGGAGCGCTGAAGATCCGGGCCAAAGCGCCCGGGGAGGCGCTGGGGATCGGGGCCCTTTGTGCGGTTGGGTGGCGATGAAGGCCCTCCGCACACTGCTGGCAGATGTTCTTTTTCCTTTGATGTTGATGGGGCATTTCGAGTTGATTCATTTTACATTGAAGTTGACATTGAGTGTTACATTGTTGGTACAAGCATTGGTTGTTGGCGCGATCTTGAGTCGAGACGGAAGCCCATGGTTTGGGGTGAACTTGGAAGAGCTAGATTTCGTATCTTTCTTCGAGAGTTTTACAGCACTAGCATGTATTCCATGGTGTTGGACGGTCGGCATGTCGATGATCGCAGCAGCAGAGCGCTTGGGCCTGAAGGAACTGAGGTGCAGGAGACGAGTGCAGAAACGAAAACGCACTTCAGGACTTCGAAAGTTGACAAAACATAAGTGGCATTTGAACAAAAGAGGAATTTTCTTGTTGATTTTTCTTGGAAGCGGCTACGGTGTTCATGGGATGGACCAGCAACAATTTTCACAATTCATGGAGGGATTTGGAAAATTTATTCAACGACAAGAGATGCTTGGACAAGCAACGAACAGTCTTGCAGGGTCGATCCCAGATATGCTGAAGGAAGCAGTGGCATCAGCCTCATCCTCGAGTTCATCTGCCGGAGTTGCAAAAGGACTTGAATCTGCGTCGAAAATCCTCAAGAATCCAGAGTATTTTGATGCGTCGGATCCTGGAAGTTGGATTTCATGGCGGCATTCTTTCCTCAATTGGTTGGCATATGCTGATTCAAGGTTCCTTCAGAGCATCAAACAAGTTGAGAAATTAGGAACTGATGAGGTCTTGGAAGAGTCAGGTTGGAGTAAAGCAGATTGGGACTTAGCGTACAAGCTGTACGCGGTCCTTACCTCGTACCTCAAAGGACCGGCACTCCAGATTTCACGTGGCATTGCAGAAAGCCGGAACGGATTTCAGTTGTGGAAGACATTGACAGATCATTTTGCACCACATACTCGACAGAGAGCATTGGCATTGTCACAGGCCATCAGTTCTTTTCCTACATTCGTTACGACAGGTGGCAAGACATTGCATGAGCAGATCATGAACATGGAGATGTTGGTGAACCAATATGATCAGTTGAGTTCAAAGCAGTTTGACAGGGACATTTTGTTGGGTGTTTTGTTGCGTGCATGTCCAGAAAGCATTCGACAACATTTGACATTGGGTGTAACAGAAGGTACAAGTTATTTAGAGGTGAAGGAAAAGATTCTTGCATACGAGCGTTCATCACGTTTTTGGACAGCAGGAGATGTTATGAAGCAGTTGGGAGACAAGCCAACAGCAAAAACAACAGATGGGCCGGTGGCCATGGAGGTCGATGCTGTGATGCAGAAGGGAAAAGCCAAGGGCAAAGGAAAGAAAGGCAAAGGCAAAGACTCGTCTTGGAGTTGGACGGGATGGACTGGTTGGGGCAACTGGTCGAAAGGAAAAGCAAAAGGCCGTGGGGCCAAAGGCAAAGGAAAGGACAAAGGAAAATCGAAAGGCAAAGGAAAGAAAGGTGGAAAGAGCAAGTCGAAAGGCAAGGGCAAGTTGAATCCGGATAGGTGCCGGATTTGCGGCCGTGCTGGACATTGGGGCAATGAATGTCCTGAGAGAGATGGAGGAGGAGTTCGTGAGGTTCGACAAGAACCGGACCAGCGGTCGACAGTGGCTCCTTCAGTGGCAGGAAGCACGGTGTACAGCAGTGTTGGGGCTCAGAGTACAACAGCTTCAACGGCAGCGAGTGGAAGACAGTCGGTTAGACAAGTTTACTTGTACGATATGAACGAACCTTGTCGAAACAATGTTTGGCATGTTGGGACACCTACAAGCCAAAGGCCGGAGTTGTTCACTTTGTCGGAGGCATCTGACAATGATGATTGGACAGCTTGGAATGTCAGAACAGTGACGTTGAGTTCTTCTCCAGAGCTTTTCGATTTGACAGATGAGGAGGACAGGGCATGTTGTGTTGATGCAGGCTGTTTGACAGACGACCCGTTCTATCAATGGCTGAGCAACGATTTTGATGTGCTTGAACCTCAGGTGGAAGTGCAATATGTGAGAGCAGTTGAGCAGAAGCAGGTGGTGGAAGGTGAGTGGATCATTTTAGATTCAGGTGCTGATGTTTCATTGATCCCCTCAGATCGTTTGAATGTCGGCAGTGAGACTACAGTACCACAGCTTTTCCTAGAGGACGCCCAAGGCAATTCTCTTCGTGTTGGAGGCATGCGTGAGGCCCAGGTCGAATTTTTGAACAGCATTCCAGAGACGTCGATGTGTTGTTTGTGCGAGGATTTCATTGTGTCGGATGTCACGCACGTTTTGCTTTCATTTGGCAGGATGCTCAAGTCAGGTTGGTTTCTCGAAGAGATTACCGGTGAGGATCGAACAAGATTCTCGAATCAGGCTGGAGAACAATGTGCAGGACTTCTTTCTTCACCAGATCGACAATGCAGGGTTCCAGTGTTCTTTAGAAAGAATAGTTTGAGTGTTTATGGACATGTGAGAAAGGTGGCAAGCAAGGTCCAAGAGGTTTGCAATGGTGCAATCCGTGGAGTGAACGTGGTGTTTGATTGTGACATTTTGAACGAAGTTCAAGACGGTTGGCAGTTTCTTTCAAACGGAAATCCAGTTCACAAGGCAAGAACAACAAACTTCACAGATCCAGCAACAGCACTGTCAAAGCACGTTTGGAAGTTCCGGACAACAATAGCATTGATTGGTGACACATGGGAGGTGATTGAGCATTCACAAGACCTTTCAGTGCTGAGTACTTTGGCAGGTCCTATCCCTGGAGTGTTGTTTGCAACATGGGTGTTGACATTTCCTCAAAGGAAGATGGAGGCATTGAGTTCTTGCTTGTGTCGGCCGGTGGCCGAGTTGATCCCGGCAAGGGAACAAGATCCACAGAGAGTTGAAGAAGATGTTTTCCCGGTTGAGGAATCGGTTCCATTCGAGTTGGCGAATAGCCCAGAGTTGGTGCATGGTGGAGCAGCTGGAGGACACGTTGAAACTCCGGACTCAGTTTGGGTGGCAGGCAAGGAGCTGACAATGACTAGCAAGTTGAAAGAGCTTCAGGAGGCTTGTGCATTCTTAGGCTTGAACGGAGGCGGGGCCAAGAGAAAGTTGTTGGACAGATTGGTGAGCTATTTCGACCAGAGATACCAGAAGGATGTTGATGCTTCACAGAATTATTTGCAACAACAACTACAAGGACCTCGTCCATCGATAGAGCCTTCGAAACCAGAGATGCCAGAAGACCCAGCTGAGATAGAACGACATATGGCAACACATTTACCTTTTGCAGGATGGTGCGATTTTTGCATTCAGGCCAAATCTCGTGAGGACAAGACAGTTTCGAATGCAGATCTCATTGAGCAAGACACGGGTGTGCCGCACATTCAGCTAGATTGGATGTTTTTGGGAAGGTCATGTCCTTCATTGGTTATGTTGGATTGTGGAACTAGATTTGGAAGCATTTTCCCAGCACCATCGAAAGGAGTGTTCAGGTCGGTGGCAGAAGCAATTGTCAAATTTTCGTTGGAGATGAACCATTTGCAGGAAGTCATTTTTTGTGATGGACAGCGAACCAGCGACGATTGGATTACTAGATATGGCAATCACACTCAGACAGCAAATGGGGTACAAAGCAGCAAAGAAATTTGGCAAACCATACCACAAAGGGAGAACAGCCCGTGTTGAAAGGTTCATTCAGAGCATTAAGAGACAAGCAACAACATTGATGCTGAGTGTCGAGAAACAGGTTGGAATTTTGAGTGACACACATTGCTTGCGGGCTTGGGCTTTGTCGCATTCGGTATTCCTTCTGAACAGGTTTCATGAACACACGGCGATCAGGTCAACACCGTATGAGCTTGTTTTCGGCAAGAAGTATGTGGGAAAGATTTTACCCTATGGTGAATTTGTTTTTGGACTTCGAAAACCAGCTCGGAGTCATGGTACAGCAGTATGGGTTGGAGGAGTCTGGGTTGGCAAGGATTCGGCTGACATGAACGTGTTGCTGACCGCGGGCGGCACGATTCATACTCGTTCGATTCGGAGGTGTGCCAATCCATGGCGTGCAGATGTTGTGGCTTCATTGACCAATTCACCCTGGAGCAAGAACAAGTCTTCGAGACCTGTTGGATTGTTGGAGGCGCCTATGCCTAGGATAGAGGAATCACAAGAAGGAAAGGTTGAAGGTGAGATACCTTTGTTGCCAAGTGGAGAAGTGGACAAGGACGCAGCAGAAGTTATGGGACTTTTGCAGGAGGCGGACAGCTTCGAGTACACACCCTCAGAACCAATGCAAGCAGAAGAGCATGAAGAAAGAAAGGAAACGGTGGAGTTGGAGTGGCCTGACCCTAAAAGGGCAAGACAGGAGGCGTTAGATCAAGAAGAGTTGAAACCATTGAGTTCCGAGGCACGGAGTCTTTTGCTTGGTCTTCCTCTAGGTTCAGGACAACAAGAGGATGTTGAAGTGAGGTCGACTGCTGATAAGCGAGAGACAGATCATGGAGAAGGAGACGAAGAAAGCCGCAAGGTTCCTAGGAGAGAAGGCAGTCCCATGTCGAGTGGTTTGTATTCTCCTTTCTATGCTGGACAAGTGGAAGCTAGAATGCCAGACGATGATGAGCATTGGGAGGAGGACATTGATTGGGACAGTGTTGATTTTGACATTGTGGAGGACATGTGCCACGGAGAGCAGCCACCAGATTTGTCGGAAGCAGATCTTGCAGACCTAGATGGGCAAGCTATGCGTGAAGAAGTTGAGAAGTTGACAGGTATAGGAGTTGTGAAGGTTGTCAAAGACTATGACCGAGATCCGGCAGGCAAGTTTGTTGATTTGAAAGAAGTGTTCGACTGGCGGTACAGGAACGACAAGTGGAAACGCAGGTGCCGCATTGTTGCAAGAGACTTCAAAACAGGTCCGAGCACTTCAGATACATTTTCACCAACGTCGGCCGGAGGGGCAATTCGATTTTTCCTGTTGTTTCATTTGGTCTATGGCTGGAAGATTTTGTCGTTAGACATTAGTGATGCCTACCTCATGGTTCCACAGCAGGAAGTGTGCTATGTCCAGATCCGTGATTGGATCAAGAGTCTCTTGGGTTTGAGCAGTGAAGATCTTTGGGAGTTGAGACGTGTTTTGCCAGGTCAACGAAATGGTGCACAGAGGTGGTTCAATTATTTTTCGGATTTCCTCAAGGAGCTAGGTTTTGTGCAGTGCACAGCTATGCCTTCGGTGATGCGCCACAGTGCTAGAAAGGTGGTGATCAACATACATGTTGATGATGAGTTGGTAGCAGCTGAAAACATGGCAGAGGCTCACTGGTTCTTGAATGAACTGCGGAAGAAATTCAAGATACAAGTGGAAGGTCCATTTCCTCAAGGACTTCGTGGAGCCGGTGAAGAAATGAACTATTTGAAGAAGACATATGTTTTCACTAGCGAAGGTATATTGGTAAAACCCAACAAGAAATACATCGAAAGTTTGCTAAGGTTGTACGACATTGGCAATCGAAAGTTCAAACAAGTTCCAGAGCACAATTTGTTGGGGCAGTTGGATTTTTCAGAAGAGCTTGATCAACAGAAGCAGGCATTGTTTAGAAGCGGCTTGGGAGTGGCCATGTACTTGTCCCAGGATCGCATTGATATTCAGTTCTGTGTGAAGAGTTTGGCAAGTTCGATGAAATGCCCGACACAACAAGCAGAGAAGTCATTGATGCAGTTGATTTTGTACCTTGCAGGAACTAGAGATTGGGTGTTCAAGCTACCGTACGTTGAGATTGGAACAAGTTTGGCAAGAACATTGAACACAGGACAACAAGATGAGAGTTCGACCAAGGAACAACACTTGTTGGAGATATTCTGTGATTCGGATTGGGCAGGCAGCGTTGGCAGGAAGAGCACCACCGCATGCATGATTTTTCTAGATTCGGTGTTGGTGACGTCATTTTCGAGGACGCAGAAGTCGATAGCCCTGAGTTCTTGTGAAAGCGAAGTTCTTGCATTGACAGCAGGTTGCAGTGAGGGTATCCTTCTCAGGTCAATTTGGGAGTTCCTTTCGCAGAAGCAGTGCAAGGTGATAGCACGTTCCGACAGTTCAAGTGGTCGGCAGTGGTTGGCTCGTTCAGGAGTCGGCAGACTTAAGCATTTTGACATCAGGTTGTGCTGGCTACAAAGTGCAATCAGGAAACAGGTTCTGGAGGTGGCACCAATTGGAACTAGACTAAATGTCAGTGACCTTAACACCAAGAAGTTGATAGCAGCTCGCAAGAGGTTTCTATTGTTCTTTTTGGGTGCAACTAGATTCGATGAAAGCAGTGGAGCACAAGATAGCATCGGTGAAGCAGAGTTCATTGAATACATGACGGAGGAAGCATTGAAGGCACAGGTGAGACGAATTGGCAAACTGGCCAAGAACAAAACAAGCAGAGGAATTTTTCAGGTGGCGATGGCATTGAGTACTTTTGGTTTGAAGGGATGTGTGGAACAAGATGAAAAGAAGGTGGAAGAAACGTTCGAGAACAGTTGGCAACAGTTCGCATTGACATTGGTTGTGTTGTTGATCATTGCATTATGCAACTTCGTGTTTTCGCATTGGGAAGTGTTGCAGACATTGTTGCAGACGATGCTGGACAGGCGGGGACGAAAGAGGAAACGAGAGCTTGAGATCCCTGACCACGACAACAACGATACAGATGTGGAAGTTGAAGAGTTGGAGGTGCAAACTGGTGAACAAGCCAGTGCAAGCACAGGCCCGGTACCTCCATCCGAGCCGCCGCCTTTGTGCCCACCACCAAGGGCACCGAAGTTCTCTCCAATTCCTGTCGACCCACCTCCTCGGTGGGATCCATGGTCTCCAGAGTGGTTCCTTTACTGGATGCTTGGAAGAGTCAACAGCAGGATGCAACGTCGAGGACATTCGATGGATCACAATACATTGCTCAGGTACAGTCATCGGCGCGACATTTTGGAGATGCAGCTTGGAATTTTGGAGCAGAACCACAGTGAAGGTGTGAGGCGAAGGGCGCACATGATGTGCCGAGGGATGACAGATCTCTCACCTGACTCAGGTTCATCTGCAGGACCTGAGGTGGAGGAAGATCCAGAGCCGGAGCATGAAGAGGACATTGCAACGCACCGATATGTTGGACCAGAACCGGAGGAGGAGAGCGTTGGAATGCAGGTGCGGAGACAACAGTTCAGTACAACAGCAGCAAGCAGTCAGACAAACAGAGATGAGCAGTTTCGGTCGGAGCTTGATTCAAGTGATGGGTATTTTACATCATCAAGTTTGCCAGGGCGAAGTTTGGCGATGCCCTCGGCTGGACAGGAACCGCAGTACGATGGAAACGACGATGATGAAGTTGCGGACAGTGAAACACAGTCGCATAGAAGAATGAGGTATATCTATGCTGGAATTGAAGAAGTCAGTGACCCTGAATATTGGCAAGAGTTGCATCATTTCAGCAGTGACGACGAAGCAAGCAACTCAGGAGATGAGGACAACAACAATGACAATTGATTGACAATGGAATTTACAATGTGTTTCTTTTGAGGCGGATGTTCTGTGAAACCATCTGAACCACAGTCATCCAGCAACGAACAGATGTATCGTGCAACAGCTGAACCACGATACATAGATGGCACCACGATTTGAATTCAGGTGAATGTTACATTGGTTGACAGCAACAGTTGTTGGAAATGCGTGCAACAGCTGAACCACGCATGTGACATTTGTTGGAGACGAGAATTTGCAATGTTATGCATGGAATAGTGTATGAATGTACACCGGAACGGTGGCTACAAGAGTAGTCGTGGTTGCGAGAGACCGGTTTCAGTTCTGTCTAGTTGAGGACAGATCTCGCACAAATAGAGAAGTGTACAAAGGTGAAAAGGTGGAGTTGAGATTGATTCCATCTCACTCCAAGGCGGGGTGTTAGCCTTTTGTATGCACACGTATAGGTACATAGATGGCATATTGTACAGTGTGAAGTTGATGTCATTTGGATGAGTAGTATCTGTTCTTATCAGTTCAACCGCCATAGCGCTCGGGTTCAAAATAAAGCTGCTGCCTAACATGATACCTAACACCTATTGTTCACTGGCACCAAACATCACCCCAAGCTGAGACTCTTGGCGCAGGCTTTGGGTGGGACTCCAGTCTTTTCTTGGAATCCCCGAACATCTCAATATATCCCAATGAATTATACCTGGACCCTCCAAGGGGCGTCTAATGGACTACCCACACTACCTATAGGCTTCCATTGGGCACCCCTTGGAGGGTCCTGGTACGTTGTTTGTATTTCTTTTAACTGCTCTCTTTTTGAGTTTATGTTTGTTCAGAACACACATCAAAAGTAAATAAGGGACATGTCCTCATTCTGTGTGCATGCAATGTTCGGGATCCCCATCATCCAACCTCCCGAACCTCCCATCGAACTTCATGTTCTTGTTTCTTTCCGCTGCGCTGGGGACCGATCTGGGGTGATTTGTCTGTTGAATTGCCCCTTTCGGTCGGCGCATTTGGTCGAGCCCTCTGAGGTTGGGTCATGGAATTTCCAGACCAGGGCGCGGAGGCCTTATGTGGCAAGATGGCCAAGAGCCTCTACAAGAGGCAAGATGGCCGGGGTGTCGAGCGTCTCCAGCCAAGCGAGCGAGTGCACATTGGATGATTCACCCCCTGCAGCCATGGTAGGTGTTCTAACAAAAGGGATGTAAAGGACATTCCTCATCAAAAGGTGGGAAGGGTTTCTCTGGATGTATCGATGTTAAGGTACGTGGTAAATCCACGGTATATCTCATGGTGTTGTGTGAGGCTCCGGTCACCTTCATCGGTGGTTTTACCTCATGTACCCAGACTGTAGACCTTCACCCATGATCAACCGATCTCTTCCTAAATGAGCAAGTTCCTTTTGTTTGACCGGTGTGACCATGAGACTGGAAAAAATGCCATGTGCAGGTGAACCATGTTGAGAAGAAACCGACACGAGAACCGACACTGTGACAATTGCAAGACATTTGCTTAATCATGACAATGACAGGTGTCTTGGTTTTCGCCTTTCCAACAATGTGTCAGGTTGGCGAACGAACTGCCCACCGGCGGAGCCAGGCGAACGAACTTGATCGACAGCTACGTAGACAGCTACTTCCCAGAGTTTGCTGCCTTTCGCGACGTCGCTGAGATGGAAGATCTCGACCGTTTTCCGTCGCTATTGACTGCCAATGCAGGACCTAGGGGCTGTGTTCTTTACATTTGAGGAGTGAGAAGAAACTTTGTGAGGCCAAACCAAGAAATGTTGTTTTGGATCAGTATGAGGAATTCTTTTAAGGAGCTTCCCCAAGTAGGTGCCCTTTGGAGACCACCCTTTTCCACCACGGCCTCGGCCCCTGGGTAGACTGGTCTATCGGCCCCAGTGGATCGGACTGCCACGCTGGAGCGCTCCATCTCGAGCATCCAAGAGCGTGGGACGAGCGTGGAGGAGAGAGCGTGGGACGAACAACATCGATGGTGCGAGGATTCCAGGTTTCATGCTACGAACTGATCTTCCAACATGATGACCACATGTCCTGCCAACCAACAGGCCACTGCCGTACCGCATGGGTCGTGCCACTACGGGACTCGTCGCCTTGTCGCGCCAACCTTTGGCAGTTCGTTGAGATACATGAAGTTCGACAGAACCTTTGCCACCGTTGGAAGATGGTCTTGTTCAGCTGTTCCGGGCTCTTCGATCCATGTCGTCGGACACACGACCGATGCTCCATGCTGTCCAAACCCCAAAGCCGCAGCCGAAGATGCCAGTTCCTAAGCCATTGGTTCCCTCAACAGCCAGGAACTCTGCAAAGAATCCAGGCAACTCTGCAACCTGTGTTTTGTCAGGTTTGGGTTCCCCCCAAAAACATCAGGCAACCCTCACAACTAGGGGTTTGGTTTCCAGCAGGGGTCCATAGGGGTCCATGATCCTCCGGTGGAAAGAATCGAATGAAAAGCACGTGAAGACTGCGCTTGGAATTGAACTTGTTTGATCCGATGTTCGGCCAATGGAATCATTATCCATCAGGATGTGGTGACACTCCCTGGAAGGAGTCTCTCCCTTACTTTCACCTCCTATCACCTCCTTTCACCTTTTCCAACCAAAGCCAGACGCTGTCCGACCGGTCGTCCCCTTCCCTTTCTGCTCCAGGTCTGTATGTGGTGGAAGTTCTACTTGTGCACCGACCCCATCGTGTTCCGATTCCAGGCGTGCGCCGCACTCAACCCGCGAAGCGCAGCCCTGGTGCTGCAGTCGACCTGAGTGCTCGCGCAACCGAGCGGAGCGGAAGAATGCGACGGAGCCAGAGATGACGAGACGGAACTTGTTTGAAGCTGGATGGATGATGGATGCATCAGGGGTGGTGGATGATGATGGATGATGGATGCGTCATGTGACCCCTCCAGGCCTTTTGGAATTGAAGGATCCACCCCTATCCTGGATCATTTGCTTGTGGACCGGGAACAAAGCTCGAGCTTTCTGAAGGAAAGACCTAGCTTGCCGACCCTTGAAACGGAAACGTCTTGAACTATGGCTCTCTCTGGAAGTCTGAGAGCTTATTCTGAAGCCGCGTGAAGTAGAGGAGCTGACTTCTGAGGGTTCAGAGATGCACTTCATTCAATAGCAACCAACTGACAAAAACACATCCTGATCCTGCCATCCCATCATACTCTGGGTAAATCACCCAAAGGCAACCAAATATGCTCATTTGGTGGAGGATGCTGTCCATTTATGGGGTAAGCTTGGGGCTAGGTGGGAGAAGATTGGCTTACAGGCTTACATTACATTAGCTTTTGCCAGAAACTTATGGCCACACCACCAACGGAGACGGGTGGCACAAGAACAGTTTCATATTAACATTCTACGAACTCTTGTGGGTGTGTGTATTAGAAGAGACGAAGAGACCCTCACAGTTGACCTCAATGCGAAGAGCAAACATCGGCTGAAATCCATAAAAACTTAGCAAAATCATCCGTTCTTCAAGCTACGCCAGCCGGCCCACAAAAGATGGCCGACTCAGTTGCCCATATAGGTAACTCCCTCCCTTTTCAAAGCTGATTTGGCTCTAAGGTCGGGAGTCTGGACCCCTGGTAGCTTCCCCTCCCCTGTGGTCTATTCTGTTCCGGTGTGAAAGCCCCACCAGGGTATTCCGGTGCCATGTCCAGCCTTTTCGACATGACACCGTTTCAAGCCAAACACGCCTGCTCCTCCTTTCACCGTGTTGCTATGTTGCTGACCGGGGAAAGCCGGCAGAAACCGGGTGTTCTTGTGCCTTTTTTGTGGAGTGACCAAACGGATGAGCATGTGGGATTCGGATGCTGTCAGGACAGTTCGTGAAGCGATTTCAACCGCTTCCTCGTTGATTCTAGAGAATGTACACTCCCTGAAATCATTGCAGTGGATGGCATGGTCCCCTAGAAGACCATTTTCTGCTAGAAACAGCTGAGCCGCGTTCAACACCGGCAAGGAACTTTTTGCCGAAATCGGCCATGAACTGCCATGTCCTGCCATGTACACAGACGGAGGTTTTGAACACCAGTCTTGCGCTCTCGAAGTCCACTTCCATGGACGAGCCAGTCTTGCGGATCAAACATTTGTTTTTTTTTCACAAACTAGGTGTTCATCCCCCAACCTACAGGGAATCAGAAACAGGTCGTGAACCAGGTTCATCTCATCCTACGAGAGTTCATGTAGTGAAACACCTGGCCGGGAGGCCCCGGCCTTGGGTAGGTACATCCACTCATAGGGTATGGCCATGGCGGTGTGGACAGGTGGTTCACAGGTTCAGGTTTGAGGTGACTTAGAAGTCTTGGGAAGGATTTAGGCAGGCTCTTGGAGACTGGCGACCGGGAGAATCACATGGTTTTAGGCCGTTGGGTCTGGCCGCCTTGGGGGGAAGATCTCCTCGCAGGCGTTGGAGTTCTCGGACGGGCACCTACAGTGGTCCATCGACATCCACCCGCGCTTCCAGCCGCCGGAGCTGGTTTTGGAGAGCGCGGCGAAAGGGCTGTTGAAAGGTGTTCGAGTTTCGTTGGGCTTTTGGTCCCAGTTCCAGGGTGTTCATCCCCCTTTATCCCCTTTTCCCGAGGTTTTTCATCCTTATTCTTCATGGGGAAGAGGTGTTTTTACTGATTTTCCCGGCTTCCTGGAGAAGCAAATCCAAGGCTTTTAAGGGGAGAGGGACCGCGCCAGGGTCCCCTTTTCTTCACCGCCCAAGTGTTTTCTTCGGTGCCGGGCGGGGAGAGGGGGTGAACGATGGATTCAACTAAGATGGCAGAAGGAAAATAGATGGAGCTGATTTGGATTGACCATGCCAGACATTTTGAGGGGTGAGTTTCTTGGGGAAAGGCTTCCTGGGTGTGCTTACAAGAGGCACTTCTTCACTTTTTTCTTATGCTAATATGCCTACAAGGGCACCCCCCTTGTTTGTGCTCCATCACATGCTTTCTCGGCACGCAGGTTCTTGGAGAAGTTAGGGGATACGGATCTTCAATGATCAGTGGTTGGGACATCACACATCCGAGATTATAGACCAGGTTTGCAAGGCATGGCTGCATGCTGGTTGATTCTTGCTAAGATGTGCCATGTGCTTAAGTGGACATACCGTCTCTGAGAGTCGAACCTAAGTTCGAGCCTCGGTGCACGGTCAATGATGGGTGGAATGTAGAGTACATGACCCAAGATTGTAAGCTTAAAGTTGGTGTTCTTCTCAGCCCAGTTGGGTGTGGTTCCATCCCGATATGATCAAGTACGTGGGCAACGTTCATGTTACGCGGGGTTAGCAAACGTTTGGGTTAGCTGACGTCTCACGTTTAGGTGAAGAGTATTCCAGCAGAGGTTGAAGAACCCAATAGACTATCAGGTACCCCTGTAGAGCCCTATAAGGTCACTTGACCTCTGTTGGTTTATCAAAGGAAGTTTAGGGTGCAAAACTTCCGTGTTACGGACTTTCAACAGCTCTAGCTCCAGTTAGTTCCAGTTTCAGTCAGCTCTCTAGCTCCACTTTAGCTCCAGTCAGCTCTAGCTTTAGTTAGCTCTAGCTCTGGTTTTGCAGGTGTTCAACATGCATATTGGAACGAAGTCTCGTACAAAGTGCGTGTTTGAGAGATAGTGGAAGCACGAAATGTTGTGTTTTTCAATACAAAGGGTGGCTCCGAACGTGGCAAGTCAAGCTCTGCGGAACGACGGTTTCCGGACGTGTTCAAATCGTCCCTCCATTGTAACTAGAGATTTCACCTGTTTCTTGTGTGCGTGCTGCTGATGGAATTCCATTGCGTTTTGCAACTCCTGGATGGTTTTCGCACTGTAAATGTGACTGCAAGTGTTGCTGGTGGATGAGTTGTCGCTGGAATTTCATTGTGTGTTGCAACTTCAGGATCGTTCCCGGAATGTAAATTGCACTTTCATGTCTGGTTGGATCATGTCTTCCAGTTACATTTTTCAGGAAGTCTCGCAGAATTGCTTCGTTTTGCAGGTCTTCAACATGCAGTTTGGAAGGAAGTCTCGTACAAAGTGCGTCTTTGAGAGATAGCGGAAATGTTGTGGCTCCGAACGTGGCAAGTCAAGCTCTGCGGAACGACGGTTGCCGAACGGCCTCTATGACGATAGGTGTACTGCAGCCCCCGGTGGTTCACCCCCGCCGCCAGTTGTTCCACCTCGTCCAGCCCCTGCCGGAGGTTCTGGGTGAACCGTTCCTTGGTCTTGCCGAGAGGCATCGGTCTGTGGACCGCGCAGACAGCCGGGAAATGCTCCTATGTCCGTCGTTGAGAACCGCATAAACAGCTGCTACCGCGCAGGACTCTTTGCACTGTGTGGAAGAAAAGAATGTGGTGAGTCGGTGACGCATCGGCTGTGCTCTTGGACTTCGATGAAAAGCAAAAGAAGAAGCCACTGCATGCACAGTGCCACTGCGTGCACACTGCCAGAGCGAGTACGTCGTTGTGGGCTGCTTGCATGACGCCATCGCTGTGGGCCGGAAAAAAAGGGGGGTCCGCAGGGCATGTGCGAAGGGACACTCCTATAGGTCAAATTGTTCCTACAGGAAACTTCCGCCGCCGGCTTGCCCGGGAACTGCTTGTATACAAATGTTGAGCGGTGCTACGTTTCCGCGTGTCGTACATTTTCATTTTTAGGCTTATGATTTATGATACACATCATGTCACATGAAACACGTTGCAAGCAACTCCAACTTCCATGCGGCATCATTATACCGTTATATAACATATATATATACATATTATGTAAATATAGCAGTAGTTGTCCCATATTACACCCATTGGTAGACAGTGCTGTTTTTTTGGGTGACCAGTGACCATTCCATATGATTTTAAGGAATGAACCAATCGCACACACAGTTCTTCCTAAGGAAGCGCTGCTACATCGTGAAGTCTTTTGGACAAGGGAACCGTGCGCAGATGCTTTTCGGAAAACTGGAGAAGCCCGCTGGGAGCTCAGCAAGCATCATTGGCCATTTTTGCCGGGCCTTGAACAAAGTTGGTCCTTGCACTGCTAGCCACCAAAGCATTGTGTATGGGATTCATATTGCATCGACCGCCGATACAAGAAGAGGATTCATGTTCAATTGGAAACCACTTTTTTGCAAGGAAGTCAATCTATGACCTCTTTCAATCTTCATGGCCTAGAACCTCTCCAGGCTCCACATGAGGAAAACACTAAAGGAATGTGCACATGAAGAGAGAGGTAACAATACAGGGCTGCACTTCCTCTTGTGTCCCGCAACTTGCCATGTTTGGTCGTTCCCCATCTTCGCTTCTTTCTTCTAAGAGTGTTTTCAGAGTAGATGGCACAATCACCAAATGGTGGTTCCATATAAACCAACCCCAATTGTCTAGGACATCTTGGGGTGCCAGTGCCAACCCTATAGACCCTAAAACCACTGTACTCAGCTGCTTAGTTCCGTGGCTTGTCCCAGCTGTTGAAGAACCACCCTGCACGAACCGCTGCAGGCGCTGAAGGAGCATCGTTATCAGTCTGAAGCGCTCCCAAGTAACCTGGCGGGGCAGAGCATTTGGTCCGAGGACCGGGATGGAAGGAATGGGAAAGACATATTCCCTTCCACCTCTCGATACTTCTCATCGAGCAATTGACCAGACAGTCCCAGAACAATTGAACAAAATCTGCATGTTTCCGCCCGATCTGGTCTTCTTTCACTTCAAAACCAACACCATCCACAAGGACCAACGCCTCGCTTCCGCGCGCCCCCGCGTCATGGCTCGGCAGGACGACGTGCTCCACGTCCACACCTTACCCTCGTTTGGAGATCGTCCCCGATCCCAGACCCCGCGGACGTCGGGATGTGGAGACGTGGAGTGATGGCGCTGGCCACGGAGGTGAGCGGTGACTGGTGAGGTGGCCGAGTGCCCGGAGCGATGACTGGGTCAGAGTGATGACCCGGCCATCATGGATGAACATCTGAAGATATCGCTTCAGCACGAAGAGAAGGTTCCAACTTTTTCAGTTCGTGACCTTTTGAAGGTTCAGTGACCCGTATAGTAGGAGGCTTGTTTGTGACCTCAAACAAGGTGATCAAAAGGTAAGTTTGAAGAACCAGGTTTGTTGTTCTTTCTTCACATGTCCATGTTTCTTTGGCTGCGCGCCGGCGCGCCGTTGGCATTTTTATGGGGTGGGTGGATAGATCGGCACACTTGGCTCACGAGCAAGAACGGAAAACAAAAGCCATCAGGGTGGTTCTGAAGACACATCCAAAATCCCGACTTGTAAAAGTTTATGCTTGTAGGCCTTTGCAGCATTTGCAGTCTCTCTCCAAGCAATTTCTGTGAAAGGTAGACTCATTGATTGATATGATAAACCCCTCATATATGAATCAAGAGGATTTACCATCCACTGTCTGTCCACATTTGGGGTGAAGATCGTCTTATCAATCAGATTAGTCTACCGAACGCGCTTCCTGTTTGGGTGTCCTGTCTGGTGACCTATATCTCAGCAGTGTGGGGGACAATCCATCCAGGTCACCGGTGACCTCGCCCGCGCGGAAGCAGCGACCGTACCAGCTGCTGGACGACCAGCTGGTGGCACCGGACCAAACACGTGACAGCCGAGGCCTGGGCCAAGCGGACAGCGAGCTGCTGTTGTCCTACCTGACGGCGCGGACGAGGGAGAGAGGGGGAGATGACGAGAGGAGGCATTGACTTCGAGGTTGCTGGGAAGTTGGGCAGTGTCATTCGTGACGAGATACACATGGGAATTGGTCTTCCCTCAAAAGAAAACTATATATAGTGAAATATATTACTTACTATGGTAGTAAGGCCAGGAGCCCCTAGTAGCTTCTTGTTACTACTAGTAAGGCACTTGTTACTAGTAGCGATGCACTTGTTACTACTAAATAGTTAATTATATTATAGATCTACGTATCAGCTGTCGAAAGAGCACTGAACCCGACCTCGCACGGCAGGTGCCGTACCTTCGCCTGCCGCTCTGCTTGGGCTACTTCTCCAGCGAGGTGCTCTACGCCTTGTGGCCCGTGGCCGTCAGTGATGGCGGTGAGCGCGCGTGTGTGGGGGGGGGTTGCGGTGAGTGTAGGACGGCACCATCTCCGGTGCACGGTGGGACACCCGTTCTGGACAGAACGTATCTTGGGGTGGCGTGCCGCTCGGAAACCACTGGGATGATGTGGGTGTGTATCCCAAACACTTCATCGGACTGTACTTATCTACATTAAATTGACCCTAAGTCAACAACCCCAATGTAGTAATATGCGGAGTGTTTGGGGACCCCCAACCAAATCGTTTTGGTGCCTTGGTCCTGAGAATGCATGTTCGATGCATCCTTTGCATTGATCTTTCGTCACCTCATACATGTGCAACCCGCAAGTCAGCACGTCGCAGCCGGATGTCTCGCGTCTCATCGGCGAGCTCGCTTCCCCATCAGTTCCCCATCAGCAGATGGTGTTGGATGGACGATTAGAGACCCTTTGGACAGTTTTGTTGAACCAACCCAGTCAATGGATCACTGCAAAACCCCGTTTGGGGGAAGCCTATGGAAACCTCAGTGTATTAAGCCAAGAGGCGGAAAGTGATGGGAAGTTTAGTTACCAGTCAAGTGACTGAGGAGGTCAGTGATTTGTCGAGTCATTACCTATCTAGGTGATGGTTTCGGATTTTTTGATTTTCAACCCTTACTTGGGGATGATGGGACCCTCTGACTAATATTTTTTCAAGTGGGTTGAAAACACCAACCAGCTATAGATCTTGCAACTGCAAAATGTCTGCCTACCTGGGCTGGTTTTAAGATGAAAAGGCAGAGCTCTCGCAAGGTCTAGGTATACGATGCTGGACTTTTTCCGGACTTTCCCCTTTCCGGAGGTCAAAGCGAAAACCTCAAACCGCCGCTCCGATCTCCGAAAGCCGCGCCAGGATCGTGTACATGCCCTTTCTCAGAGCCAGCTGCGGGACGTACTACAGGCCGCTGGGACCTGTCGCCACTGACGGGACCTGAATGAGTGGTAGCTTGTGTTGAATCGAGAAAACTGGGTGGTGTACTAGGACCCACTGTCGAGGTGGTTAAACTCACACCCCCAAAAACCTCCAAGGGGCTATCAAGAGACACCCCGGTATGGGTGTCCTGGTATGTGTTACTGTTTTTTTTTCTTTTCCAACCTATATGGTATGATCTAACCATATCTAAGCCTAAGCCACTCATACATTTCCAGTGAGTTGAAACCGCCAACCAGATGAGTTTTTACACCGAAACTCTGAAGAGATCCGGCTGTTTGTTCGCCAGATGACTGGATGACAAGACATGACATGACAAGACATGACAAGACTCTAGTGTTTGGATGTCCCCACTGACATGAAGTTGCTGCCTACCGGGCAGAGACGACTCTGTTTGTCCACGCGAAAAAAAGGGCGTCTCTCGCGGAAGGGCGAATTCCGCCCTTTCCAATGCCAAGCTATATGGCAAAAGGCCCAGGCCGTAAGGATCGTAGTGTCAGGCAGGATGCGACTTGTTGGGTTCATCAGGATGATTTGTAAGTTTTTGTTCAGACCTTGAAGACCACGGTTTCACTGGACATTTGTTGGGAGAACGCCGATTTTTTTGCTGAACACTCCATCGTGACATCCAGGATGGGAGGCCAAGG